GCTCTTCCTGGAACCAAAACGGGTCACCTGCACCCGTTCTGTTGGATGGCACAGATGGCCACCATTGACGACACTAGCCCGGAATCCCCATGGCTCCATCGACTCCCTGGACGACCGACGTTGACGCCCCGTTCCACCCCCAGCCTCCGAACGCATCCTTCCACGTTGCGGGCTTCCCCAGAGTCAGACGAAAGTTCGAAACATCAGCACCGGCTCCTCTCTGGGTACGGCTATGTTCCGTAGTGGCTACCGTACCTGGACCTCGCGGCCCTCAGCAAGCCTTTCCCGTTCGTCCTGCTTCTTCGTGTTTCCCACATCGACGGATTTTGCTTGGCTGCCAGCCCGCTCCCCACAGTGGCATCTGGCGGACGAGTTCGTCTGGAGCCAATGGTGCCTGTCGTGTTGCAAAGTGGAATTCCCGATACCGCTTTGGGAAGTCTTTCTGCAGTACCCGCACCATCAGACGATTCGCTTTGCGTAGGCTTGGCTAGCTGGCCGGCCGGCTGGCTTTCTGTCTTCCGTTGTGCCCGTCTTTCAGCTACCGCGTACCTCGATGACTGCTTGTCGTTACATACCAACAGCTTTGGTCTGTTTTGCTACAGGAATGCCGATAGGGCCGGGCAGGTTTCATTGTTGGATCTCGGAACTTTGCGTACGAGAGATGGCTGTCTTGACTCCCCATGATAGTATGTCTAAGTGTCTTGAGATGATTTGGCAGAGGAATTATAGACCAGGTACCGTGACAGGCCGCATGAGCCGTCTCAGGAACACGCTTGTTAGTGTGATGTTCGCCGGAGCAAACCACGCAAACATCAGAGCCAACTTGAAATGGCAATGCCTACAGGTCCTGGCTCGCAACTGGGCTATGGGCCGCCTTTCGTGTCTTCACTTCTCACTACCCATTGTGGGTTGCAGTCTTGGGAGCCTCCCTCGTCACCTCGAATCGAGGAGGATCTGGCCTTGGACGTGGCGTGTAGGACTCTAGGACTACTCACCTTCTGCAAGGTTCCTATGGTTCGGATGTGTGAAGCATAACCCGCGAAACCGATCGAGTCTTTGGTATCGATGTGTTCTCGCTTCTGGAACAAATTCTTGGCCACCTTCCGATGACGCATCTCAGGCCGTTGGAAGCCGTACATGCTTGTTCTTCTTTTCCTCCCAGAGGGTTATAGTGAGTGAGGTGGTGTCTCTCACCCACCAGGCAGCTCAATACGGCAGTGAGCTTCAAGCTGCCATGAATTCGCAGCTTACATCTGGCTTGTGTTCCCCAATTGTGCAGACAATGACGTCCGTCTAAACAAAAGTAGCTTGCATTCTGAGGAGGTTGCCAAATCCTTTGGACTGAGGTTGTCAAGTTTGGCAAAGGCAGTCAGCGAGATCGGTCTCTCCGCAGCGGCGGTGGGAGGGGAATGAAAGGTGGGAGGTGTGGTATTGCAGGTTTCATGCATCATTGGCGCCCCGACCTTGAGGGGCATTTTGCGGATCGGTAGCGGGGCCACGTTCAAGGTTGATGTCCCTCGCCTTGCCAAGGCACCAATACCCTCAAATTTTTCCATGGTCACCTGAGCCCACCAAACAAGCGGGCACGCTACTGTCAACTTCCACCCTGACATGTTGATCCTTCCATTGTGGATCGTGAAATTGGGAGAATAGGCACTGTAATCTGTGGTTCAGACTGTTTGAGGCCTGTCTTGAAGAAGGGAGTTGAGTACTCGTCCCTTGTGGTTGTTGCTGCTTGTTGGATATTGTAAGTGTCAGGCATCGAGCCAGCGAGTTGGCTGTTCCAAACTGCTGCTCCGGTTACGCTCCAGGACCCCTGTCTACGACGCTGTGTAAGTGCTCCGACCACACATTTTGCTTGGCGAACTCGGTATGTATCGTCTCGGCTGCTGTCCTTTGGGCACGTGCCGAACTCCGTAACAGGTCCGGACGGGCCAGGTGACACATTCAGGTCAATGAGTTTGAATCCGGTAAAAGAGTGCATAGAGAATGCGGTGGCTGTTGAAGTTTTAAAGATTCCAATAGGACCGGAAGGTGGTGGGCAAGACTGAGACGAGTGATGCCAAGAACCGATGAGTGTGATTGGTTACCCTACCATTGACCGGATGAGCCGCGTTTTTGGGGCTGACTTTGGCGCCGCGGGGAACACGAAGGTGAACAATTGTGCGTGCATAAAGAGGAGAAAAAAGCAACGACAGTTCTCCCACTCGGGATTAAAGCCCCTGGTTGAGGTGGTATTAGCCAATGCAAGTTTCTCACTTTGGCACTTGTCATCCCACCCCAACTCTCGCTTCCAGATCGTTGGCGGGCTGGTCAGAGACAGAAGAGAGCTTCAAAGTGGTCTAAGTGGACACAAAAGAGGGCAGATTGCAAAGCTCGTCGAAGGTTACCGAGCGATTAGCCAGGGGTAAAAGCAGCGGACTGTATGCGGGAGTCCTTGTCGTGGAAGTTGTACCCGTGAGATTATCCTGCTGCGTTCTGTGTAGGTAATGCCTGAACAAAATCAGAACAAAAAGAATCCAATGGGGGGACAAACTGGATTAGCGGGGTAAACAGCGAATCAGCACGGGTTCCCTTGCAAAGTTTGTTCTTTGCATCTCCGAGGAGCTGGTGGTGGTTTGGTGGTGGGAGGAGTGGGAGCTGGGAGGGTGGCTGTTGCCCCGGTGCCGGCGTTTGTGCCGTTGGTAGGTCTGGGCGAATCAAGCCCGACCAATTGCATCCAAACTCGCTTGGATAGAGCCGTCTTGTCGGACTCGTGAACGTCATGGCACTCTCCGGAACCAAACTGACGGACAGGAATTTGTGATGAGAAAGTGTGTGGCGTACTGGATGGCTCGACTCGACGGCTCGGACGGTTCAACGGGATGTTGGGACGGGTAGAAGTTTGAAGAGGGTGATGGCTCGTTTTATAACGCTTTTGAAAGTTGAGATGGTCGGGCCATGTCAAGATACTTGATAGACTTTTCGTCCTAGTGTTCTTCCACTTGTACTGGCGTTGTTCGAACCGGACAGAGTGACGGCTCAACTGGCCATCGGAACAATGCCAAGAATGCTTTGAAAGCTTTCTAGCGCAGGACTAGAACGTCAGCGAAGTGCCTGTCATCACTGATACCTTTCAACAAGCGAGCCCGCCCCCGCGTGTGATGAATCACTGAGAAATTGCGACACTGCCGACACTGACTGAGAGGACAGCCCGACAGATCTTCAATGTAACCCACGCTGGCACGTATGTGGCGTATCTGATGCTGGCGCGGGTTGTAAGGTTGCTGCTGATCACAGACATCTAGCATGCAATAGGCGAGATGCGACGGAGACCACCGTCTGCAGACCTCTCGAGGTGATGGAACGTATTGTTCCAAGGATTCCGAAAGTTCGAGAAAGCTGGTCACCAAACGCCCTTTGAGTTGGTGTTGCCTCAAGTGGCTCATTTGCCTGACTGCGATTTCGGAGTAGAGGCCTAGACTTGGCGTGTGTGTCTGAGTGCTGACCCTCCTTCACCAAAGGCCATAAAGGAGCTGGTCGTGGCCAGGATGTACTCTATCCCATAATCCCCAGTCGCAGCCTGTCATACAAATTGCGTGTGCTGATGTGTGTAGTGCAGAGTCTGAAGGGTTGTCGAACGTGCATGCGCGGCACAGGCACAGGTGAGGGTTTCCTTTGATGTAATCTCGAGTCGGCTGGGAGGATGCGGGACTTGTCGAACCATGCCATTCGGTCGAGGGCGACTGAGCATAGCAAGATATCGACCAGACGAGTAATCGGGAAGAGTGGGAGAGGAGCTGAGAGCAAGCTGGCCATGGGAGCCGGACGACTTTTGTGGGGTATCCTATTCGTCTCGATCGAATTTCAAGCTTGGAGTCCTTAAATGGTCAATAAGGACATCGTTTCGTGATGTCGAGCAGTTGGCGCGTATCGTTGTCCAGTGCTTGAGACAACAATCCGCCGTCGCTCATCCTTGAGGTGCTGAATGTTGTTCCATGTGTCTGTTGTCGGAAAAGAAAGAATTGATTTTCTAGCCCTTCATATCGCGGTGCCGATCGCAGGTCGGAGTAGCGACCTGATTACTCGATCCAGTTGCTGTGTGCCATGCAAGTGGTATCTTTTTGGCAGTAAGTTGAGGTTGACGGCATGGCGAGGTAAAAAAAAGGAGAAGTGAAGACTTCAAGAGATATCGAAGGTGAAGTGGACCGCATAATTGCCACTTGGGTGGTTATTGAATTTCTTTGTAGGGCACAGAGTTGACACCAGATGACGAGAGATTGAGATTGAGTGGAAGACAAGAAAATCGATTTTTGTGGAGGAAATATTTTTCAAGTCAACGTGAAGAAGTGGTTAAGATAGGAAGAGGAAGGTGCATTTGACTTTGAGATGAGCTCGAAAACGGAAGTTGCGTTGGACGGAACTGATAGGTACAGTGCTTTGATCGAGTTCTACTGTGCAACCACGGTGCAGTGGTTTGTTTACACTGCACTGACCGAGTGCTGTCTCCAGTCTGCAAACACAGCGAGACAACAACAATCGATCCACCCCACCACGCCTCAGCTGCTTTCGCTTGCATCTGCCCCGAGAGGAACCTCGACTTCCTCCACTTCATCCACATCCTCTTTTCTTCCCGCCCTTCTCTGATCTGCGACTGACATCATTTCGACCCCTACACGTCTCAATCTCTCTTAGCCTTCTTCGCATTTTCCATTCCCCATCGTCGCCCATCAAGACGCCCTGCGCATTCCATCCGCCTTTCCAACCGAAATCACACGACGCACAAAAAATAGAAACAAGCCACTTCGACAATCGTCGCGAATCTCCCGTCTGCATTGACCAAGCTTTGTCACCATCTTTTACAGAGACCATGACGCGCCGTTCTGCACGATTAGCAAGCCTGTCCCAGGTACGAGCTCCTCCAATTGTCGCGTAAACAAACTTCAAACAAAGCACCCAGCGAACCACTACTGTACCACCTACCTCTTTGCCCGTGCTGTGTGTCCTGTTGCTACCTTACCATGCCGCTATTACGACCGCCATCTCTTCCGACACCGTCGCCATCGCCGTCGCCGTCTCCAACACCCTCTGTGCGTGTGCTAACCTTGCCTCTCCGATCCCAGGCGCCAGAGTCTCCCGTCAAGTCTACCCTTCACTCCGTCTCGGAAACCCAGAGTGGTGCCGAACCAGAAACCCTCCCCGCCCCTCAACGTCGCAAGAGCCACGCCGCAGCCTCGTCACCAATGCGCCTCCCCAGGACTCCGGGCAAGTCGTCGCCCGTCAAACTGCCCATGTCCGAGATGCATCCCAGCAAAGTCCACCCGACCATGGCCCACGCCCCTTCGTCCGGCTTGCGCCTGGGCTTCACTGACATCAAGCCAACCACCAACCGCGACGACGACCTTCCTCCCGTCGCCCAGTCGACCCCCACAAAGGTCTCAGTTCCACAGTCCGACTTTACCTTCCGCCGTGTCGCTCAGTCAGCAGCCGGCGTGGCCCTCAGTACCCAAGCCCAGAGCATGATGGAGGACATCCGCAAGGAAGCCGAGAAGTACAAGGACGAGATCCGTCAGCGCGAAGCCGAAAAGGAGAGGGAGGAACAGGCCAAGCGCAAAATCGCAAAGGCTACCGGCAAAGCAGGTCGCTACAGCCAAGTCCACATGGCCCAGTTCAAGAAGATGGACTCGATCGAGAATCACCCCTCTGTCCTCAGGGCCCAGAAGGGCCGCGTTCCCGATCCTCTCAAGAAGGGCGTCAAACGATCTCAGTCCAAGGCGAGTCTCGACGACATCGACCCCAGCCGTCGCTCCAAGGACCCTACTCCGACCTCGACTACCGCCAAGGCCAAGGATGAGGACGAGGAGGGCCGATCACCTGCGAAACGTCTTCGCCAGAACAAGGAGGACGACGTCTCCAAGGGCCGTGCCGTCATCCGCGACGCCACCAGTTCCATCCCCAAGCCCAAGCCCGCTCCTGCTGCGGCTGCTTCGACTATTCCTCGGCCCAAGTCTGTCCGCCAATCCATCATGAGCCCCACACGATCCTCTCTTGCTCGGTCAACAGGCGCAAGAACCCCGGTACGACAGTCGTTGTTGAAATCTCCAGCCAAATCAATCCAGAGTGCCTTGCCTCGACCCGCCACTGCGAGCAAGCTTCCCACTCTCAAAGAGGAACCTGCCAAGACTTCCGCGAAGCAATCCGAGACGCAACCTGAGAAGCCTTCGGAGAAGCACGCTGAGAAGCAGGCCAGCAAAGAGGTAAAGCAACAGCCCGACACCAACATGGAGAAGCATAACGAGGAGGAAACCCACACTCCCCAGCAGACACCACGAGCTGATGTCAAGACTCCCACGAGCCGAATTGCTAGCGCCAAATCGATTCTGAAGAGCACTACGACTAGCATCATCAAAACCAAGATTCCTCTGCCCGCCTCTTTTGGTTCCAAAACACCGACGTCCAAGACCCCGACTGCGTCGCGCAGTGAGGAGATCACTACCTCCGCCCCTCTGACTACACCCGGCGGAAGGCTCGCCAAACACGTGGCCTTCACTCCCGAGACGCAGCGCGCCGCTATCGGCCAAGCGCTGAGATCCCCCTCTCCCGTCAAGCTGGCTCTTTCCAAGTCCCAGCCCCGGAAGGTGCTCGGTGAAGTCTATTACCCTTCTTTGGATGCCGTCTTGCGCGAGGAACAGCTGGACCGCGGTCTACTGTACCCTGATCTCCCCGAAGAGACTGAAGCTCACTCGGTCAAGGAGCCTTCTGCCATAAAGCAGTTCAAGGCTGACTCCACAACAGTTGAAGCATCGTCGGCTTCTGACTCCTTCTCATTCCGCACTGAACGCACCCTCAACTTCGAGAGCGTCTCCCGCCCACCGTTCGGTGCCTCCCCAGGTCAATCAACCATTCGCTCTGTTCGGCCATCTCTCCTCCCTACTGTGTCCGAGTCTAGCATGCCCGGCAGCTTTCCCGACCCAGAAGAGGAGATGTCGCCGGTGGTGTTGTCAAACAACAAGGAGAACGAGGCTCCAGCTGACCCATCGCCCATCTACCTTGCTCTGCCACACGGCCTCGCCACCAAGAAGCGCAACCGTGTCAGCACCGACGAAGAAGAGCTGGAGATGGAGGAGCGCGCCAACAAGAGACAGAAGCAGGAGCCTGTGCCGGAGGGCGATGCCCTTCTTGCCCCGAGACTGGTTGGAGCCAACAGTGCTAATGCCAAGAAGCCGGCTGCTGCAGCACCGGTCAAGAGCAACCCTACCAGGAAAAGCATTGCTCCTGTGAGCCCTCGCAAGAGCCTCGCGGCTAGAAAGAGTCTGGCTGCTGGTACAAGGAACAACAACGTTGCTTCTGGCGTCAGGAAGGCTGCTACTGCCACAGCTTCTGGCACTGCTGCCAGCAAAGAAAAGGAGTCTCACGAAAGCCCGGTCAAGAAGGCGGCGGCTAAGATCAGTCTTAGTAGGTTGAACCAGCTCGCCAGGCCAAAGACCCGCAAGTAAGGGGCGGACCGGGCTTGAATTTCGAGCTCAAGAGGCTTGACTTCGTTGCTTGCCTTGACTGCAAGTCACGACTAGATTAAACTGCCAGTTCCACGACTGATACTGTCACCTATCCTTCGATATTCTCTTGTGTTTTTATAACGTTGAGGTACGATTGGATTGGCAGTCTTCATCGATTTTCATTGTACTTATGGATCTTGCCCCTTTTTCGCTTCTAGCTATTTCAGGGCACTTCAAAAAGGAGGGCCCGCATGACCGTGTTATGTATCTGTTCGGTTAGGCGTGGAGCTGTTATTATTTTCACGTTGCTCAGTTTGTCTTTCTACCATAGGGTAGAAAAAGGGCGTTGGCTGGTAATGGAGTTGATGCGTATATGGACATGGTTACAAATAGGAGGAGGAGGACTGATATTTGCCGGCAGTTTCCTTACATGGTTTTTGCTAGCCAGTATCGCTGGAGAGTGTGGATATATGTTTTGCTTTACTTTAGCAAGTTGAAATACTGTACCTTTTTATATTAGTTACACTTTGATGGTTATCTCCTCGCCATGTCGTGCCCGGTCTCTGTGACACAGTCGGCGTCTGGCTCTTGCCAATGTGATGTTGGTCAGTTGTAACCGTGGGTGTGAGGTTGGCTGAGCACGCAACACCCACTTAACTTCCCCGATAATTTTTGTTTCAAGGCTCCTGCATGTAATTATATCCACATACTGGCAATGGTGGACTCCCTGGAGTTCTTCTATTGCATCCTCAATATACCTTCCCTTCACGCCACAGTTCCTGCCCGATTGGAACGTAAAATTGATAGTCGTACTTGTCGCTTCAAACAGCTTCGGCAAGCACAAGGTATCTCCGTTCTGTCAGCTTCAAAGCGCCAGTTCCCTTCTTGTTAACAGATCATGATGAAAAGCTTGACCCGGCTCCCTCTGAGTGCTTTCAACTCCCGCCCGTTGCAGGTTTAGCTAAGCTTCTTTCTCTACTAATTTTGCCGAATGGCGGGCGGGTGAGGCTAACAATGCGTTCTTCCCAGACAGCCAAAGAATTCCTTTGTCATGACCATACTCAACAAACAGCCGACGTGTCAAAAGGACTCAAAGGGCAAAGCTACCACACGACGGCTGGTATACGAACAACTGCAATAAATCCCAACAATGAGAGATGTCTTCTATACCCAGCACTGTCAAGAATCAACTTGAGAGATCCTGTCTCTCTACGGAGTACGTTGAGACACTCAAATATTCTAAAGCTAACATCGAACAATATCAATCAGCTATTCACACTTGATTACCCATTGACCTTTCACTTTTGGAAGCCCGGCAGAGTTTCACGCAACGTTCATCAAGATGCCCCGTTATCAAGACTCTGGAAGCAACGATGCCGCCGCGTTGCGGGAGGCTTGCGCCTCTCTCGAGAAGATGAAACACAATGATGAAGATCAAGCTAAGCAAGAAAAGCTTCCAAGGATAACAATTGAGATGGAAAAAACATTAAAAGACAAAGAGCGCCAGCAACGCTACCTGGACTCACACAGAGAGCCCGACCTCCTCACTGGCCTGCGAAGCGGTGAATCATCTCGCCTCAACCCCCTTCGCCGCTACAAGTTCTTTGACAAGGACAACCGCCGCCTCATCATGTCCCATGACCAGGACCTCTACGAGCCCTCGAGGCATCCGGACTTACTCCTTTACGACCCTAGCCGGCCCATGCCCAACCTCCTCCTCCGCCTCTGGGGGCCCCCCTTATCTATCCTCGTCGACATCCTCCAATACCCCCCTCCGCCCATCGCCGGCTCCACCCAGCCCTTCTCCTTTCCAAAGGACTGGATACACGCTCAAGCCTTGTTCTTGGATCAAGAGCTGAGCTCTCGCAGACACCCGGTCTACAAGTACCACTTCTTGACGATGGACGGCCTGAACTCCAGCTCCATGCCCGAGGACTTCATGGTCATGTTTGCCAGAGACATCCCGCCGTGGATCATGCGGAAGATGGATAACTGGCGGCAGTACTGTGAGATCGGACGCCATAACCAGCTGAATCATTACCTATTGGGTTGGTGCTGGTTTTGGTTGCAGATGGAGGTTACTCAGAGGGTGGATCGGATTAGGATGTTTGTGTTGGAGGATGAGTATGAGAGGTTGAAAGGAAAAGAGGGGAGGGAGCGGGAGCGGGAGCGGGTTAGGAGGGAGATGGAAGAGGAAGAGGATGAGACTAATCCTTTCAGAAGGTTCGGCCTGAAGAAAAAGGAGGCCCTTGGGGAAGCCAGGAATTTTGTTGAGCGCATCTCTGGTATCGGGGCGTTGTGGTTTCCGGACTCGGAAAAGAAGGGGAAGTTTGAGAAGTATATTGGGGATGCGATACATCCCCGGTATAAGCTTTCCGGTGAGGGAAATACCAGGGAATATTGTGTCGCTTGCAACTTGTCCGTTGTGGCGGGCAGCGGGGAGGAGGTATTGACAGCCTTGATGGCGAACATGATTGCGAGGGCGCCGTGCAAGAACCAGGAAAATGTTACAGAAGAAAATGGAGGGTTGCCCAGGTTGTATCCACTGGTTGACGCGTGGATCGAGAACCTGGGTAAGGAGAGAGCAAAGGCGGTCAAGGCAAAGGCAGCAAAGTTGGCCTTGACGCTGTTTGTCATTCGGAAGTACTTGCGGTGGAAGAAGACGCCTCAAGGGCGCGACAAGTGGTTGTATATGAATGTCGGAATGGATGCGTACGATCCTCGGGATATACAATTGACGCCGAGTCCGACTATAAGAATGCTGAAGGATGAGAGGCGTGTGAAAAGGGAGTGGGAGTGTTATATCAACTGTACAGATCCCTTGATGAGGAAGAGAAGGAGGAGAAGAAGAATACTTTGCCTCCTGCGAGGGAGACGAGGTATCTAGAGCCTGTCCCAGAGAATAGTAGCTGGTCCTCCATTTCTCCCTCCCGTCATCCTCCCAATTCTTCCTCTTCGCGTCATCCACCCTCCTCCTCCTCCTCTTCCCGAAACAACAGAGAACGAGAATCCTACTCATCCAAACACGCCGTCCCCTTGTCCTTCTATAACCTCAGCAACAGCCAAGTCTCACCCGCACCCGCACCGATTCCCAGCAAAATGGTTCGTGATCACGGTACAGGTACACGCAAGAACTCAGAAACAAGCACCGCTTTCGTCCGGACCCGTGAATATCCCTCAGAAACATGGGATTTCGAATCGGGCTCGGATAGTGAGACCTTTGAGTTCGATGGTGACGCCGCTACCACGTTGACTTGCAATAGCTATATCAGTACTGTCAGGGGGGAAGCAGCACTAACGCTGATCGAATGAGCATAACTAACTTTAGCCACAACCGCGACGGTGATGGAGACGGAGACAACGACGACGGAGACAATGACATGGAGATTATGTTCATCGCGACGTGGAGTCACTTGAGTGCTGTGCCTGAGGGTTTGAATTTGAATTTGAAAGGTAAGGAAAAGTTGAAGGAAAGGGAAGAGAGGGAGAAGTATCGGATGGAGCGGACGCGTGATATGGAGAGGTACAGACATGAGGGGGATAGTCTGGTGAGCTCATCAAAACCATCTTCTTCACGGCCACCACGCTCGGAGCGCAAGTCTACGGATACTAGGGACTTCGCCAGTGGCAGTGATGATGACCGCAAGCTTGACCGCGAGCGTTACCGTCATGAGGGTGGCCGTCATGGTCCTTCATCTTCCTCCTCTCGTCACACTACACGTAGAAATGGAGGAGACAGGGACAGAGACAGAGACAGACAGAGACAGAGACAGAGCAAGAGACGAGGAAGAGAATCGTGAAATAACTCGAGCCGCTCTCAAATTACTGAGTATCAGAGACAAGATGAAAGACCAGTCCCATTTGTCGAGAACGAAAAGTCGAAATGGGAAAAGTGGAACTGGAGGTGGAGGAAGAGAAAGAGAAGATGAAAGAAAAAGGGCAGGTTCGAGCTCGAGGAAGGACAAAGATAGGGACGATGATAGGCACCGTCGGCGGTAAGGGTTTGATTATGTGTTGGGTTTCCTCTTTTCTTTGGTTGTTGATCTTTTCCTATGTCCTGGTCTCATGTAAAGATATGGATGGAAGCAAAGGGGGTTTGGGCAGGCTATTGGACCATCATCTGTTTGCAAATTGTACACTGAGGTTCTGGTTTGTTAAATTTGGTGCGTACGTCCAAGTTTTTGGTGCGTGTGGGGAAAGTTAACACTTGGATAATTCGCTGTTCGACCAATATTTAATGTGATGGTACTCCTGTGACACTACACTTCGTGAAAAATGTACATTTATATTCGCCTGGGCTGTGTAAAGGTCTAGTTATGTTTAGGAGGTTATAGACACTTCACTTCGAACGACGGTAAGTAGGTAGTTATTTACTCGCTCACCAAAGAAAGTATGATTGTCTATTAGCAATACAACATCCCAACTCTTTCTTTTATCCGTGTTTTGTAAACCTGCTTGTCCGTGTCACCCTCAACGTCCAACCCAATTACCAACTGCATCAATAGCACCACTACTAGCACCAGTAGACCACCTCCCAACCCTCCTACTACTACTACCACGACAAGATGAATGCTTAAGAGTTCTCGTTCCCAAGCTATACCACTTTTTGTTCTTCCCTTTACTAACCCCTCTTCCGTTTCCATCAACATCACCATCACCATGAAGATACATATCCGCATCCCAAATAACTTCCCGCGCGGTTCCAACCTCCCCAACATCACCACAACCACCAACAGACCCATACCGCGATTCACACTATGACCTCCTTCCTCCTTGGTTAAAATCCCTCTCTCGCAAAGCCTCCCTAACAATCCCCTCCGCCTCCGCCACCACATCCTTCCCCTCTCGCCACGTATACAGCTTAACCCCCTGCTTCTCCAAAAGATCGTGCGCCTCGGCTAATCTCCTCTGCCAAATTTCCAGCTTTTTGTTCACCGGCGAGTTTGCACCTCCTCCTGAGCCGGAAGCAGTGTTACCCGTGGCATACACTGACGCGCCGTTGAGCCCGTTCATGGTGTCGTAGGAAGTTGCGGGGCGGATGGGGAGGAAGGTGTTGGAGCGACTACCACTGCCAGAACCGCTGCCTAAGGTGTGTTTCTCGAGAGGAAGACCCCACTCGTCTGTGTCGGAGTCGTAATTGGAGGAGGTGTGGGAGTTGGCGGTTTGGACGCGGCGGGGTGGTGGGTTAGGTGGTTGTTGTTGTTGGGAAAGGTTGGCGGTGTTGGTGCGACGGGGTGGTGGAGGGGGAGGGGCGGGACCTCTTGATGTTGATCCTGACGCGGAAGAGTTTTGATGCGAGGTGCTTGGACGGGGAGCGTCGCGAGGCTTGGGTGGTAAAGGAGGAGGAGCAACACCGCTGGAATTGATCTCTGCTGGCGAGCTGCGTAAGGCAGTAGGTTTGGCGGGACGTGGTGGTGGGCCTTTCCGCTGTTGTGGGATGTCACTTGTTGATTTACTCCCGTGCATGGCATTGAGACTGCTGCTCCGGGGATCGTGCACAGGCATGGAGGGAGTGTCATCGGATAGATCAATCAGATCACCCATGACCGGCCCCCTAGGTTGAGGAGATGACCGCGGTGGAAGTCTCGGCGGCGCCGGCTGACTCCTAACGTTCGTGGTTGTTGCAGCCCTCCTTCTATTGCTGTCACTCCTCTCAAGCCCATTGTGCCTCTCCGTGGGCTGCATATTCGAGGTGAAATACCCCATGTCCACTTGCTCGGGTGTGGTAACATCTCTGATGAACACGGCCAGTATCCTTCCGGGATAAGCCAGCACTAGATCGGTGTAGACCTCGAGGTCGGCCTCTCCACTGTCTCCCACAAGCAAGAACTTCCTTTCCGGAAAGTCGCGTAATATTCTTTCGAGGGTGCCCTTCTTCCGTTCGGCAACCGGCTCAAAGATGCCCTGAAGCATACCGCTGTACTGCTTCAGGTCTATCGAGCCAGGAGGTAAGCCGGCTTTGTGAAAGTAGGTGGCCAGTACGGGATAAAGCTGCCACGGGCTGTTGGAAACATAATGAAGTTTCACTCCCATCTTATGCAGAGAAGTATACAGCTCTTTGACTCCGTCGATGGTCTGATCTCCCAGCTCGCGCACGAAGGTGTTCCTGAAGATCTCTCTGGCGCCACCATTGATATTCGACCGCTTGATGGTGTCGTCGACATCACTGATCAGACTAACTCCCCTAGGCTCGATGACCTCAACGGGTTGGGTGGTCGAGATGTTCTCGTTGGCCAGCACTCGGAAGTGTGTCGGGACAAAGTCCAACGGGACGCGAGCAATAAAATGACCTGACGCATTCGTCTCAACCGTCTTAGACTTGGACCGCTGGTCGTTGTAGAAGAAGAGCGTGATGGGCAACCCCACCAGCGGCGTAGCCATGAACGGCGCCAACCGCGCGTTCAGGTTCGCGTTCGCAGCCGCCAGCTCCGCCTCCGTCATCTCTGAAGGAAACGCTCCCAAGCCGGAGTTTGTTCTCACCGGTGCCGTCGGACTCGGCGGCGATGGCGAGCGCCGTTGCCTCATGGCCCCAAACCCATCGTCCAAGTCATCAGCCTGAGGTCGCTCACTGTACTCTCCTCTGACAGCCGCCTCCTTCTCGCCCTGTCCCCTCCTTTCAATCTCCCTCGCCTCCTTCGCAATCCTTTCCTCTTCCCCAAGCCCTTCCAGATCAGTCACCGCCCTCCGCAAGTCACCATTCCCATGCTGCAACGACGACACTGCAGCCTGAGGCGCCGCAGCCCCCGGTAACCCGCTCAACCTCCTCGCGACTCCCAACACCATCCGATTCTTCCTCGACATAGGGCCACGAGGTGGCATATATATCCACCCTCTAATATCTACATCCACCACCGCCTTTTCGTCCTCATGCCTGTTCCACTCCGCCGTCCAGTAATCGCGTTCATCGACCCCAGGACCTATGCCGTTCCCGCCTCCGTTCGGCCTGCCATACCCATCCCCACCTGGTGACGTAGGCCGCCTAGGCAGATGCACGCCCTTGACGTGCCTCTTTGCGTACGAAGGAAACAAGATCAACTGTTCCTCGCCCCTGTGGATGATAGGCACCTCCGGAAACGCGCCGGGAATATGCACCTGCTCGGGCGAGCCGTCGCCAATGTCGCGTGTCAGGCGCGTTTGGCTGTATTGCTCGCGGATCTCGGAAGCGGCCGCTACGCCGGCGCGGTAGACGCTGCCGGCCATGGCGGCGAGTTTTCGGCGGCGGGAACCACCTTCGCGCGGGGGTTCGTTGGCGGCGGCGTCGTACTGGCCCGTGTAGCCGTGGGTGTATGGGGATGTCATCTTGCCGTTGGTGTCAGTGTTGCGCTGGGACAGCGCTTGAACTTGGGCGTCGTCGTCGGGTCTTCCGTTGGTGTTCGTGTTGTCGCTTGCGTTTGTGTCTTTTCGATCTCGTAGTAGCCGCTGTTGCTTCCAAGTCAAAGACCTCCTCCCAAGTCCCGGGCCGAGCGCACTACCGATACTCTTGTTTAACCCAGCAGCACCACCACCAAGTCCCTTCGTTCCGTACACCAACCGCCGGCTCTGGCGACGGATGATATCCACCAATCTTCCACCCGCCTGCTTTTTGCGCCTTCTCTCGAGGATGAACCGGTATATCCTACTCTGCAGTCGGGCCTTGTGTCGCGGGAGGGTTCGGTGGCGGAAGTTGAACAGGTGTTCGCGGTATCGATCGCGGACGGTCGATGGGAAGAGATATCGGACGAGAGTCGATCGGGTATGTACGCGCGGGCCGAAGAGGCGTCGCAAGAAGGGGAAGAGAGCCAGTTTCGTGGATCCGTCGGGTTGCCTCCGAAGCCTTGTCTTGGTTGGGAGAACCAAGGCTTGAAGGACGGCTCGTTGGGAGGGGATTGATTTGTCTGGTCAGGGATACGGGGATTGAAGTTGGCGACCTGCGCTGTAGTGGCTCTGTTCGATTCGGTTAGTTGGTTGGTGGTAGCGACACGATGCGAGCAACCTGGTTGCTGGATGGAAGTATGCAATGAGAAGAGAAGGTGAAGTGGGATATGGATATATAAGAAGTTGAAAAATGCGGGATGGAGATGCTGAGCTGAGTTGACCGCCGCTACTGACTTGGTCTCGGAGCTTGTTGAGTCTAATGATCTCCCTCTGTGGCTGCCTGAGAGTTTAACACGCGCAAATTCAATAGTGAAGCTGAGAGCCAAAAAGTCCAAAAACTGGAAGGAAGGATTGTCACAGGAAAAAAAGTCAGTTGCAGCTGCCTGTTCAAGTCAAGAGACATGGGAAGCGACAAATCCCTTCCGTTTACGTCACCCGTACCTGCCGTGACACCGCAGGGTCCAGCTTTGGGGTGGGTCAGTCGAGCTCTCCGCAGGGTCCCCTGATCCGCGACTCCACACCCAAATCGAGTCTCATCAGTCTCATGTGAAGCCGCAGTCTCATGTGAAGCCGCAGTCTCACTCACCTCAATATGATCACGGACGGCTCTTTGCAATCATCAAAAAATTAAATAACATCAACAGACAGCTTCTTTATTCGTTTGCCCATCTGGGTATCAACAGCATATACTAGCTTGAAACTCAATTACATTGAAAAACCTTAACAACAACCTCACGCATCAACCCTCACGGACACCTACTACCTCCTGCCCTTGCTCTTACCACCACCCCTAGCACCACCGCCGCCCCTCTTTTTCGACCCAGCAGACCGACCCACCTTCTTGACGCCGCCAGGACCGCCCTTCTTGACGACCTTCTTAAGGTTGAGCACCGCGCCCTTGCCGGCTCTCTCGGCGCTGCCCTTCTTGTACGTCCTCTCCTGCTTGCGCTCCGCCATGGTGTCGAGCTTCTTCCTGTCCTTGTTGCTGAGCTTGCCCTCGTTCTTGGACTTGAGCTTGTCGCGGGTGCCGTTGAGCTCGGCGCGGCCGGCCGCCTTGGCCTTCTTCTTGTCCTCCTGCGTCTCGAACCACGTGCGCTTGGGCCTCGACCTGATGTCGTCCTCGTACTTGATCATGTTCTCGCCCTTCTTGACCTGCATCTCCATGTTCTGCAGCTGCTTCTCCTCCTTCTCCTCGTGCATGATCTCCTCAATCTCGTCCTCCAGGGCGTCGATCTCGGCCTGCCACTTGTCGGCGTCCGCGGCCTCGATGATGCGACTGCTGATCTTGGCGCCCTGCGACTTGCCGGACCTGACGGCAGCCTTGACGACCTTGCGATCGGGGTCGGCGGCCAGGGTGATGGCGGTACCGGTACGGCCGGCACGAGCTGTACGACCGACACGATGGACGTAGATCTCAGGGGTCTGCGGAGCTTCGTAGTTGATGACTGTGTCAACACCCTTGATATCAAGACCACGAGAGGCAACATCGGTGGCGAGGAGGAAGTTAACCTTTCCATCTCTAAAGTCCTCAACACTTTGAATACGCTGTGATTCTGTTAGCACTTCCATGCTCCATCATCTAACATACCGTAGACCATAAACATACCTGAGCCTGATTCAAGCTACCGTGCAACTCGGCGCACGACAATCCAAACAGACCAAAGATGATTCTCATCTTGTGCGCAATCTTCTTCTGTCTGAAGAAGATAATGACACGCTCCGTGTAGAGGGTCTTGCAGATGTGCAGCAGATAACCCTCCCTCGAGCGCTCGCGACCGGGTCTGAGACGGACGAACTCCTGAACAAGATTGTTGGCAGTCTTCTTCTGCGAATCGGCCATGATGCGCACCGGCTTGTTGAGGCCGGCGCGAATGAGCCTGTCAACGGACGAGGTCATGGTAGCGGAGAACAGCATGGTCTGACGGGACTTGGGAAGGGTGGTGAGAATCTCGTTCAACTCGTCCGCGAAACCGTCTTCGAGCATGCGATCGGCCTCATCGAGGACGAGAATCTCGATGGTGTCGACGGCGAAGCTGGCCGAGTTGCGCATGTGATCGATGAAACGACCGGGAGTGGCAATGACCACGGTCGGGGCGAAGACGGAGCTCGGCCTCCTGCACCTTCAGACTGAGACCACCGACCGCCAAACAGAACTTGATGTCAGTATGGCTGGCGAGCTTGACAGCGACAGCGTGACACTGAATAGCCAACTCACGGGTGGGCGTGAGGATGACGACGCGGGTGGTGGGGACCTTCTTGGGGCGGTAGAGGAGACGCTCGAGGATAGGAACGACGAAGGCGGCCGTCTTACCGGAACCGGTAACGGCACCACCGACGACATCCTTACCCATGAGCGAGATGGGGATGGTCTTGGACTGAATGGGCGTAGGCTTGGTGAAGCCCACGGAAGTAAGACCGCGGAGGATGGGACGAGAAAGCGACATCTCCTGGAATGAAGACATCTCGCCCTTCTTCTTGGGCTGGTTCTCCTCCTCAGGCGCAAAGAACTCCTTCATCTTGGCTTGTTCCTCCTCATCGACCTCGTCTTCGTCATCCGATGACTGCACATCGTCGGGGTGCTCGACAGCCGTAGCAACCGAGTCATCATCCGACTCATCGCCCTCCTCTTCCTCGTCACCACTTCCCTTCTCCTCCTTCTCCCCGTCTTCCTCGGCGTCATCGTCATCGTCATCCTCCTCATCAACACCTCCCATCTTCGCATCCTTCTCCTTCTTCTCCCTCTCCTCCTTCTCTTCCTCCTCCTCCACATCCGACCCAACACCCATGCCAAAAGCATCATCAGCCAAGACACCATCCTCATCATCATCCAAATCCACATCGATGTCTTCCATATCGGCCTCCTCCTCTTCCTCATCATCCCCATCAACCTCCATCTTATCCTCCTCCTCTTGTGGTGTGATAGTCTTGCCCTCCTTAGCCGCCTTCCTCTCCCTCCTCCTGCGAATAATGTCATCGATATCTACAGGCTTCTTATCGCCCAACGCGCCAGCGCCCTTCACGACACCCTTGTGGGCGCCCTCGAAGCCCCAGCCGTCGAACTCGGCGTCGACTTCGTTCCCGCCGTCGACAACGAACTGGAACTCGGTGTCCATGGCGCCGTCGTCTTCGTCTTTGGAGCCCCAGATGCCGAGGTCGGCTGCGTCGTCTTCTTTTGTCTCGGCATCTCCCTCTTCATCATCATCGTCGGTTTGCTGCTTTTTCGACTTCTTGTTGTTCTTCTTCTTTTGCTTGTTGGACTGCTGTTCAGCCGTCTTGGCCTTCTTCCTGGGTACCACTGCCTGCTCCTCTTCTAGTGGGATGTTGTCTTCATTGTCGGAGATGGTGAGGATGAAATCGTCGTCGATCGCTTTGCGCTTTTGGGAGGGCGCCATTGTTGTGGGTGGTGGATGGTACAACAACGATTTTGTCGCCCGTTGTTTGTGTGTCGTGGTGCTGTGTTGGAAAAAAAGAAGGACTTGGGAAGTTCTTCAACGATGGATGGGAATTGGGTGGAATCGTCGAGATTGTACAACTGATAGCAGTCGGTGGGGTCTTTTTTTCGTCTCTTCCTCCGGCCGCTGAACGAAGGGGAAACAAAAATTTGGGAACCTTGCCCGTCTGTAACTTTTTCTGCCGGGCGGTCAAAGTGATTGGAGGCTTGGGAGATCTTATCAGTGGCAGCTGGTCGGCAGCTGTGGGGTAGCAGGTACGTACCAAAGCTGTACAAGAAAATGGCCCTGACGATCTCCCGTTCGTCTTCGAGACCCAAAGCCTCTTTTTAAACACCAGATTTCGACAAGACGACAGATACGCAGTGATGAACAGAACTTGACTTTCTCCATCCTTACTACAATGGGACTATGGGTGTATATATCCAAAGCATATAATCTGCTATTCTCAACGCAGATGCACCATCCCGTGCTATGTTATGATAATGTAGAAGAGTCATCTGCCCCGTCGATACCCAAAATAAACGCCAGACACCCTGCCAATGGTATAATGCTAATCCGCAAACTTTCGCCTCATAATGTCAGTTTCCCGCACCGCATCTTTCCTCCACATGGGCCGACACATTATCACTAGTGTTTACCGTGTGGAGAAGCTTGCCGACGCTACAGGTAAGTCCTGTTCCTGCCCCTGGTCCTGCTGATAAGTCTCCTTCTGCTTCTCCTTCTTCTTCATTTCAGCCCGGATTCGTTGTTTCTGCGCCTTCAAGTGCGCCATTTCAACATCATCCAGCAGGAATTTCTGCTCGTCAATATCCCTCCCACGTCCTGACGCGGATGGCCCACCATGCGGGTAGAGAGGGTCTCGTTGATACGCGTTGCCCGGTAGTTCGTGCTCAACAATGTCGTATGTAGAATGGTAATAGCCATCCTTGGTCGGTGGCAGCTCAGCATGCGCCCTTGGCTCCTCCAGTTTACGGATCGCGCCGCTTTCCATTGCAGCGTACTCCTCTGTCGATGCGTATGGTGGTAGGGGACCGTTGTTGCTGGCGCTCGGGAGATCAATATCCTCCCATGGATGTCTCCTTTCCATCGGAGATGCGGGCTCGGCCTGTAATTCAACTCCTCGGGGTGGTTTCTCAATCATGGACTCATCGGGAGGCACTGTAGGCGAATTCACAGCTGGCGTCGGCGTTACTCGATTGGGTCCATATGACACGATCAACGGGGGTCCTGGTCGGTGGGATTGTGAGGCGGTTTGGTTCGTTTGTGGGAACGTCGTTGGAACTGGAAGGAGAGCAAAGACTGGCGTTGGAGTCGGAGCTTCGGTTGGAGGGGGGATGGTGTACTGTTCGTAGTTGTTGTAATCGGGGTAATAGCCCCCAAGAGGTGCTGCGGAGGCCGCAGGTAACTGGGGCATGGGAGGCATCGGGGGTACTCCAAGCCGGCTGTCGAGGGAAATTGAGTCGGCAGCAGCGCGTGCGTTAAGGTCTCCCCTGGAACTTGCCCGTGGTGTTAGCGTGGGAGTGACGGGGTTCGGCCCGTATGACGTAGGAATCGGCTGGACTGTTTTCGCGCGGGCAGCTTCGAGTTCTCGCCCGGTGATGCTCAGGTTCTGGTGTTCCGTCACTCCAAGCCCGACTCCAAGTCCTCCCGTTTCCGTACTTCTCTCCCGCGCAGCTCCTGTCGCAGCATCGTGGCCCAAGAACCCTTGATTGTATGACCATGAAGGTGAATGGGGCATCACCGGGGAATGGCCGTATACGTCGCTGGACCCGTTTGACCGTACATCATCATAGCCTGTTGATCCGGGATATCCGTCAAAGACTGGCTGAACTGTATCGTATAGAGGATCATCCGACGACGTTTTGGACGATGACGAAAACCCGCCGAATATCTTTTTCTCGGGACCCCTCCTTCCCTGTCTATACTCGTGCTCGGCGATGGCGTCGGCCAGCTCGGCCTGCTGTTGTTTCTTCCGGCGCCTAAAGTACAGAAAGGCGGCCATGGCAGCCACACCGATGCAAGCAAGTGTGATTCCAACACCCAGGGCGATTCTAGCACCGAGGGCGAAGTGTTGGTCGGGATGTTGCGGAGGGCTTGGGGTTGGCAAAGAGGATGCGTCGGCGAAGGGGGGCGGTACGGTACCAAGGCTCGGCTGGTCGGTCGCAGTACCAGTGGCGGTTTCGGTCGCTGTCGCTGTCGCTGTCGCGATGATGGTTGCGCTGGGGCCGAAGGTTGCCGGAAGACGATTGTCGGGATCGCGGTCCTTGGCGAAGATGAAGAACTTGAAGCTTTCGACTCTGCAATCGCCAGAATCGGTTTGAAGCTCGAACCAGCAGGGATATGTCGAAGAAAAGTTCAATGGAAATGGAGTGGTTCCATTACCGGGGGTCGCATGATCAACTGTGAATTCTGTGGAAGAAGGGAGATGTCAGTCTTTCTGCCAGCAACAACCTTGTTTGCGATCGCAATGTCGCCATCAATCCCTTCCTGTCAATGTTGCTTGTTAGGGGGCGGGAAGAACGCTCGATTCGATTTTGGTTGAGGAGCGACCTGTGACCCAAAGGGCGGCTGGGCACCTTGAGGGGTACCGGGGGCTTGCAGGGCTTGGTGGAGCGGTGACATTGTGTGTGAAGCGACGGGACGAGAGCTGATGGGGGAACGTTGAGTACTCACTCTTTTCCTTGTCGGTTGAAGTGCCACACCAACAGGCAAGACTCGGGTTGTCAAAGGTCGAAGTATAGGTGACGTTGATGGTGTCCTGGGAGAAGACTCGCAGTTTCTCCGTTGGAAATCCAAAGTCGGCTCCACATTGTGCGCTTGCGGTACCCGCAGACAGAAATGAGGGAATGATGAGCAGCGTGAACAACACCAAGAGATGATGTCGCGATCTCGTTGTTGTTGTCGTCGTCGTCGTCGTTCTCGAAGTGGTCGCACTCCAGTTCCAGGTCGCCGGCGTCTGTCGAGATGATGCCGCCGTCGCCATCACCGTGGCCAAGCGAACAAAGCGAATCTCTCTTGCTACGGATTCATTGATGTTTGCCCAGGGGTCGCGGGTTGTTGGATGTTGAAGGACGAAGTGGCGATGGAGACCGAGAACGAATGACAAGGGCCGGGGTTGTATGAACGAGTGACCGGATCGACAAACTGAAGTGACGATTGAAGTTGAGTTGAAGTTGAGAAGGATGGTGAGATTGACAGAGGCGAAGACTGGAAAGCCAGGCCTGACGAGATGTGGGCTAAATGACAGGGGGGCTGTCTTTGGCACTAGATGCCGCTAGAGGGAACGAGTTAGAGACGGGAGGACGGACGCATCAGCACGATTTATCTCGATAATATCGCTCTTGCCCTATTCGGGATCGAGAACGGATTCACTTCAGAAGGGTAGGGTACAGAGAGAGGGAAAAGATGGAATGGGAACAGGACACAACGACGGGAGTGATCAGCAAAGAGACATTGCGGGAAGTCACAATGACTTCAACCTTCCAGTGCCCAAAGACGGTAGGGAACACTCTCTTTGACTCGCTCTTTTCCTGCACACAGCTCCAATGCAAGCCAAGCGCCCTGCCACCCTCGGGTCGACATGTTGGCTCATGGAGGTGGTGTGGACTTTGGTTCGACAAACTTATCTCGAGAATCGTGCATGCGCCCCCTGAAACCCTTCAGCTCACAGCCTCAATCATCATCGTGGTTTGCAAGACAGTTCTGACAGTGAGAAGTGAGCAGCTCAACCCCTTTCCAAACACCCTTCAGTCTCTTTTTTTCTGTTCTCAACCTTTTACCCTGATCTCTGGGACTCTGATACCGATAGCTATGTCCATTCTATCCAATCTCTGAACCAGGGAACTTGCTCATACCAGATCGCTCATATTCTTCGAGGTCTGGGCCGATTGGTTGATGCCTCGCCTAAACGACTCCGGACCAGCACCCAAAGAAGATTACAGTGACGTTACATAAAGAGGTTGCACTAAGACTCCCAGACAATACCTTACTGAACCAAGGGCATATCACCGCATCTTTACAATCCCGCGGTCTTGCTACTCATTGTCGTCTTCCTCTGGCTTTCGGAGCATCGAGGTGATGACGGCAGTATCGTCAAGAGCTCTGCCGATGCCAATATTTACCTAACGATATCCAGTTGGAACTAACGGTGCGCAAGTTACGTTGGAAAGCGGCACAAGCGCCTTCTCCGCGTCCACAGACGCCGCTGATTGGAAGCCCTCAACGGGTGTAGGTTTTCAAATCCGCCATCTCTCCGCGTCTTGGTCGGGTATATCCATTTTCGAAAACGACCTTGGAAGTTGGAATATCCCCTTGAGAGTTCTGGAACTTGGTGATGCGGACCACGGGGCAGCAGTCTGTATGCACGTCAGCTGATAGACGCTACCCGTTGATACATAAGGTATTACTCCTCTTCAGGGACCGCAGCACGTTCAGATGGCGTAAGGCATTCAGCCCTACAGCCCGACTGTCAAGACGGCGGCGCCTGCATCATCTGGCTCCCTCCCGTTCTGTACAACTGACAACAACAAGTTCAACAACATCAGCATCACCTACAGATACATATATTAACTTCCCCGGACAAGGCCCAAATGGAGGAAGAAGTTGATTTTGCTCAGGGGTTCCGGAGATCTGACAACGTTCCGGGAGAAGCTTTTACGAACACGTGCAAGTGTAGCTAAGGTAGCTTAGCGCCGGGTTCTGGAATCCGAGTGACTGCGCTCCATGCGACGGACAGGCATGCCAGAGTCGAAAACTCCACTGATGGACAAAGATTTTCCTATTCAGTTAAGCTGTTCGTCGACCATTAAGCTGACATCTTCCATTTTGGACTAAATACCAAAGTACTTGCAAATACAAATCATACTGGGTAAGCTTTCGGATTCTCCGTGAAAGGAGCAGCTCCTCAACATCTTCTCACTTCTCAGTCACCATAGCCCCAGACCTCGAGATTCCGGACTTGATACAAGGTGTCTGTATCATGGTTAGCAAAGTGACTGACGAGACTATCAAGTTTACTTCATTAGTAGAGCAAACAGAGAAATAGTTGACTTACCCACTTCAGGACCAGGCGAACCCGACGAGCCTTCCATCTGGAGGTTGATGATCCTATATGATGCTCCGAGTTAGCAACCGAGCTGACAACAAAACCAAATCACAAGAATACTACACAGATAAAGTGCCTGCCCAACATACCCCCTCCCCCACTGCGTAACTACCAGCTTCCCATCCATCCAAAACCTCACCTCCACATCCTTCCCCCCGTTTCTTCCATCCCTCCTGACCTCACACAACACCTTGTGCCAATCATTCCCATTCTCACTCCTATAGGCTACATCCCTGGCCATGACCTGACTACTAGTGTTAAACGTATTGAAGCTAATCTTCCCACTGCCCTTCCACTCCGCCATATCGATCTCCGGCGGCCACCCATTCACAGCCGTCAGCCAAAACGCAGGCCATGTTCCCTTGGCAACGGGGGCGCGGAATTCGGCGGAGAAGTCGTACCCGGAGACCGAAGAGGAAGAAGAAGGAGAAGAAGGAGAGGTGATGGTGAAGTGCTGCTTGGCGTGGATGGCGCCCGATAAATACTTGATGGGGATCTGTTTGCCGCCGTGGGTGGCTGGTTTTTGGCCGGTGACGCGGCGGGCGGTTAGGGTCAAGGTGCTTGAGGTGCCGCCGTCAGAAGAGGATGATGTCGAAACTTGGGAAGGGGACATGCGGGCGGCACCGTTGTGGTCGGTGCCCCACGGGTAGTTGAGGGACCAGTAGGTGTTGAAGGTGCTGGAGGGGTTGAAGGATGTGGAGGGGAGTAGGAGGGTTTTGGATGATGCGAGGGATGATGATGGCAAAAGAAAGAGGATGGTGAGAGTTTGGAGGAGAAGGGGGAGGGGGTGGTGGATGGACTTCATCTTGTGAGTTCCTGCGTTGAGGTCACTGTTCGTCTTGAAGGTTGGAGTGAGTTGCCTGGCAGGGACTGGATGAGCTTTGCCAGAGTTCTGTCGGGGTTTCTCCCGCTTTTCAACTGAACACATTTGAGCGCATCTACACTCGCAAACCCCTTGAGGGGTATCATTAAGTCGGCTTGACTATAGGACGGAACGGACCACGGATGATGTTGATATTCCACCATTCATACACGTTACCGTGGTGGGCATTGAAGCTGCTTCGGCCTCAGCCTAAACTGTCTATACACCGGGACATTCTTTGGGTGTTATGCGCCGGGTAGAGAAATCTGGACCACAAATCGTACTCAGCATACACATGATTGCTTCATCCAACCAGAGTACCTACCTTTGTTCGTGTCATAGGGGTATATTTGGACCCCTTTCTTACTTCCTCAGCCAACCTTAACCCGACGTTTTGCTGTTGCCCACCTACCCTGGATTTCCACAAACCCGAGCGCTGGCGTACTGGGTCAGCCCCCTGTAAATGCCCCGCGGTGGCGCTGAACCAGGTCCAGACTTTGCGGGGATGCTGCTTCCACTTCTGCTGCAAGACGGGAGTGCAGTGACTCCAACGGGCAGGCAGAAAAAAGTTGCCCGCGGATTCGCAATGTCAACTCGCCTTGTGAAACCAAAAAAAAGATCCCCGAGACGCCGATTGACTCCTCCACGCGCCGGGTGACACAACTCTCTTTTTTTTCGGCATTTTCCACTCGAACAGATCCTCTCGACATGCTCAGGTCAGAGGCAATTATTGTTTAAACCCATTCGTCGATGCATTACAAGAAGCTTGCAGTCGCTGCCGCATCAAAGAGGATAAGAACCGTGCTGCCGACTCGAATCTCCACCCTCACCACCACCACCACATCGTCGCTCCTGTCGCTTAGACGTTGTCTTTCAACAAGAGGATTTACACCATCTTCGAACTCGTCAGCAGATCCCTCGACGTTTGCAAAATTAAGGCCACGTCGTGTGCCCAACTCTGCCTCGAATCCTCCCTCGAATCCTAGAGCCTCTCCGTCCCGAGATCCTCGCCCGTATCCTCGCCCAGCGAAGCCCACTCCTTCTCTCGTCGTCGACCCTCCGAAAAAATCTGGATCTTCCAAGTACAAAATCCCAGACTCGGTCTCCAAGACAGTATCTAAAGAACTCTATCGCTACAAATACCTCTACTACGAATACAGTCTCTACGCCCCCAACCGAGCCTTTCGAACCTGGAAGGATCGCGGTATTCTGAGGCACACCAAGGTCCCCGAGGACTTGTTTCCCGACCGCATTGCTATCAAGCTCGCTCCTTACCAGATCGGCGGTGCCCGTTTCATCCTCACTCCTCCTCCACAAGACAAAGAAGCTCCCCCAGGGCCTGCAAAACCCGAGCACGGAGCAATGCGCAGCCACGTCCAGATTGTCGCCGCCCCGACGGCCGACACCCCGGGCGCATGCCTCCTCGTCCACTACGACAACCGCCGTTACCTTTTCGGCCATCTCTCCGAAGGCACTCAGCGCCTCTTTACCGAACACAAGATCCCCGCCGCGAAGCTGTCGCACATCTTCCTCTCGGGCAAGACGGACTGGGCAACGACGGGCGGCCTGCTGGGCATGATTCTGACCGTCGCCGATGTTATCATAAGCGCAAAGACTGCAGTTGAGGAGGAGAACAAGCTTCGCCGTCAGAAGAAGAAGCCAGAAATCATCCATGGCGGTCCTCAACGTATTGAGATCCACGGCTCCAAGAACCTTGAGCACATGCTGGCTGCTGCCAGACGCTTCGTCTTCCGCAAGGGCTTCCCACTCGACGCTCATGAGCTCCGCGCCGATCCTAGAGCCGCAAACCCCGAGAACAGCAAGCCCGACTACGAGGATGAGAACCTCAAGGTGTGGAAGATCCCCCTGATTGCCACAGGCATGGAGAGCCGGTCGCGTAGCAGCAGTACCGGATCACAGAACCCGCGGAAGCGGAAGCTGAACTCCTCGGAGGAACCCGAGGCCATGGAGACTGTGGTAGAGGGAGAAGGGGAAGAGGCTGTGGATGGGGTGGATGATGTGCCGGCGGGGGTGGAAAACGACGAGGAAAAGACGCACTTGCTTATGCAGACCATCATCAAGCACATGTTTGACTCGGACTGGAAGCCGGATGCTCTCGTAGAGCAGTCCCTACACAAGGTCAAGCTTCCCGCCAAGATCTTTGTCCGCGACGATGAAGGCAAGATCACAGTCTACAAGGGCCCATTGCCGGGAAGGGACGCCGACGTTCCCGATATTAAGGTGCTTGTGAGGGAGCCCTGGCCTGGTGCGCTCATCCACCGCTTGCCGCCTACGGACCCTTCCTTTGATTCTACATGCTACGTCGTCAAGAACCATGCTCGTCGAGGCAAGTTCCAGCCCGCCAACGCGCTCAAGTATGGCCTACCCAAGTGGACTTTCAGCAAGCTCGCAAAGGGCGAGAGCGTGACGGCAGAGGATGGAACTGTTGTTACCCCAGATATGGTTTTGGACCCTCCTATTCCTGGCCATGGTTTTGCGCTCATTGATATCCGCTACGAGTATCTCCTCGACAGCCTCCTCAGGAGGCCCGAGTGGGAGAACAAGGAGATCATGGAGAATATCGATGCCTTCTACTGGATTCTTAGTCCAGATGTCAAGGACGACTCCCGCTTGAAGGACTTCATGGGGAAGCACAACTCCTTCAAGCACATTGTGCTCGGCGAGGGAATGAGCCCCAACGTTATCTCGTTCGCGGGCGCATCTGGGAAGGCTATCATGATGCATCGGATGGACCCCGATCGCTTCTCCATCCCCAACCATAACAACAAAGAAGGGGACTTACCAGCGGGTTTAGCATCTGTTGCGGAGCTGGGAAAGCCCGGCCAAAGACTACTCCTTTCTCCTTCTGTCGAGTTCCAGCCGAAGTTCGCCATCGATATCATGGACACCATCAAACCTATCAAGGAGCTTACTTCCACCCACGCCAAGGCCTTCAACCTCGCCCTCGAAGCGCAAGAAAAGATTGCCCACCCTGCGTTTGCCGCCCGCGTCGCCGAGTCCGAGCAAGACATCCCCAACCGGGACACCGAGATCGTCACCCTCGGCACCGGCTCCGCCCTTCCGTCCAAGTATCGCAATGTCTCGGCCACGCTCATCCGCGTCCCCGGCTACGGCAGCTACCTGTTTGACTGCGGCGAGAACACTCTCGGCCAGCTCCGTCGCGTGTACGGCTACGCCGAAACCGACGTAATCCTCCGTGACCTGCGTGCCATCTACATCTCGCACTTGCACGCTGACCACCACCTCGGCGTCCCCTCCGTTCTTGCCCAGCGCGCTGCCGTCAGCGCCGCTCACAAGGAAGAAGCCAAACCCCTCACCATCATCTCCACACCCAAGTACATCGGCTTCCTGCACGAATACAAGGACGTCGAACCTCTTGACTGGACCAACATCAAATTCCTCACCCTTATCGGCACAGGCCGTAAACCCGCCGACGACCCCAACGGTCCTCCCTCCGCCGACCTCGGCCCGGCTAACAACCACTTCAACATGCTCCCAGGAACCGTCTGCACCCTGCAACCCGCTGCCCTCCGCAACGCGGACGTCTTGGAATCCCAGACCGGCTTGGCTTCCATCGACGCCTGCTTCGTCGACCACTGTCTCGGCGCCACCGCCGCCGTGTTCACCTGGCCCTCGGGTCTCAAGATTTCTTTCTCGGGCGACTGCCGCCCCTCGGACGCGTTCGCGCACATCGGCAAGGGTTCCCACCTGCTCATCCACGAGTGCACGTTCGACGATGAGCTCATCGGTGAGGCCAGAGCCAAGAAACACTCGACCGCGAGCGAGGCGCTAGACGTAGGCAAGAAGATGGGCGCCAGGAGGGTGCTGTTGACGCATTTCAGTCAGCGGTATCCGAAGATGCAGGCGCCTGTTTTGGATGAGTTGGAGGGCAGTGAAGAGAAGAAGGGTTTGGGTGGTGACAGGACGGTGGTGTTGTATGCGTTTGATTATATGAAGATCAAGCTGGGTGAATTCAAGATGGCGGAGCGGTTCTTGCCGGCGCTGAGGGAGTTGTATGGGGAGTTGGAGAATGAGGAGGAGGATGTGGAGGTTAAGGAGTAGATGTGAACGGTCTTGGAGTGATATGTCACCCGTTCGGTTACATAAAAGGTTGTATGAGTGGCTATAGAGTGGTGAAGATGTAGGAGAAATATACCCTGGTTTTTTTCTGGATACAGATACAGGTGGCGCCTCGACGGAGTATAGAGACGGGAGTCTTTGCTCACGGTGATAAATGGATAGGGAAGTCTGTCTCACTGGGGTTTGTATTGGTAATGGAGAAATCATCTGTCTTTGTTTTTCCTTTTTTCCTTTTTCTTATGCGGATGGACAATGTTCGTCTCGGTCAGCCTTTCATGCCATGGGGCACCTTCTGCTCACAAATAATCACTTCACAATTGGGATTGTTCTTTGTTTACTTTCTCAGGGGCTTCCGGCCGGTGCAAGCCGAACACAGTATCTTATTGTTGTCCGGAACCTCGGCGCCGGCCCCAGCAGCCGATACTAGATCCCGGCCTTTGCGTGGACCCCGGCAATGACAAGCGGAATAGGCGCCGCGCTATCCCCGCTTTCCCCCGCAGACCCAGATCTTTCCGCCGAATGCCGAGATGGGGGTTCTTGGGGATGGTTGGCAATGATGGACAACTCGGCAGGAACACCTTGTTGATCGCGGCTTAAGAGATGGGATTTTTATAGTGTTATATAAAAAGTGAACTTGCTTTCATCCTCATGTCTAAGCAGCCACGAAATCAGGCTTCAAGACCACAGCTCTTTTGGTAGACAGACGACGATATCCAATCTTCTTCGGCTTACACACGTCTTACAAACACTTCAAGTTGTATCACCGAACGAAACTCCCGTTCCCACTTCCCATTACCGTGGAACCAAGCCGTGTTGATCGTCAACCCCTCCTCAGTCCTCGTCCTCGCTCGACCTCGCCTTTTCGCCTTTTGAGGGTCCTTCCCGATTGGGCATTCATACCGAAGACATCCCAAGGTTCTTATCTCAGCAACCAACTTTACTTTATTAAACCATCTTTAACTTTATTCACAACCTCACCACTCAACACCTGGGTGCCAGACTTCAATCACTACCGAAACCTTCACGTTTCCAACAAAATCAAGGGACACAAAAAAAAAGCCCAAAATGTCCACCGAACCCCAAACCGCCGCCGAGAAGACGGCCGCCTTCGAGAAGGTCCTCGGCCGCAACCCCCACGGCAACTTCAAAGAAATCGAAGCCTCCCGTCCAGCCTACGACCCCTCTCCCAAATTCACCTACGTCCAAACCCCCCAGCCAGACTGGACTTTCGGCTCGGGCGCCAACCAACTTGCCTCCACTACTCCTTCCCCCCATGAACCCTCCACAGAAGCAGCCGAACCCAAGGAAGTCGAAGAAAAGAAGAAGCAAATCGTCATCGACCCCTACACCGAAGGTCGTCCCCCAGCATTTAACTACAAGCTCCTGATCTCCGCCATCGTCCCGCGCCCCCTGGCCCTCGTCTCCACGCGCTCCTCCGACGGCACCGTCGAGAACCTGGCTCCCTTTTCTTACTTCCAAGTGATCGCCCACGACCCGCCCCTGTTCACCCTGGGCTTCGTCTCCCCTCTATCCCCGTCATCGCGCGCCAAGGATTCTCTGCGCATCCTGCACGAGACAGGCGAATGCGTGATCAACATTATCTCCTCGCCGTACATCGAAGCCGCCAACGCGTGCAGCGTCAACTCGCCGCACGGGGTGTCTGAGTGGGTCATCAGCGGGCTTTCTCCCGCGTACGACTGCGAGACTGTCAAGGCGGCCAGGGCGAGGGAGGCGTGTTTCGCGGTCGAGTGCAAACTTGTCCACGTCAAAGAGTTTGAGAGCCGGAGCAAGCCGGGCGAGACGAGCACCACGCTTGTTGTGGTGGAGGGGACGCGGTTCTGGGTGGATGAGGACGCGGTTAATAAGGACAAGAATTTGATGGACATGGAGGTTTATCGCCCCTTGGCGAGGATGGCGGGGATTACGTACGGGGTTGTTAGGGAGGGGCTGGAGTTGCAGAGACCGGATTTTGAGAGGGATGTGGGGGGTAAAGAGGGGTATGAGAAGTTGAAGAGGGAGTGGGAGGGGAAGAACGGGAAGGGGAAGCAGAAGCAGTAGAGGCCTGGGTGTAGTGGATAAGATATGAGATATGAGATGGGAGTGGCGTGGATTGTTTTGATAGAGGTATATGTTGTCCTACGTGGATACACCTGGGTATGGAGATGGATGGCGGTTGTTCCCCCGACGGGGGTTGGTAGAACTAGGGGTGAGCATTTGGAGGGTTATGGCTTACTCGGGGCTTGGTATCATCCTGGTGCTCGACTTTGGTTTTGCCAACCTTCGACGAGGATCACCCGTCATCATTCTTGTACTGGGACGTCATCAGGGCAATGCTTCTTCGGCGAAACATGGAGTGATGGAAGGGAAGGGAAAATGGATGATATAAAGGTAGAACTACCATCATAGAGCACGGGATAGAAGACGAAATACATATTTGCGTTGGCAGGCGATCATGTGTCCTCAGGGTATAAACGTAAAGGAAAGGACGGTTGCGAAAGTAAGCTGTCCTTGCAAACGCCTTTTGGGTTTGAATGCACACCATCCACGAATCGACCAAGTCCTGCCTCTTTGCTACCGAACATGCTTTTGCTCACGCAATACCCACTCCAAATCGAAAACTTCAGAAAAGACTCTCAAATTGGTATCATTTACCACAAAGTTAACACACCACCCAAGAATCAAACACAGATACACCTCATCCTCCCTCCCCGCCGTTTCCCCTTTATATATATACTCCCCATTCATTTCCCTATCCCCAAATCCCCAAATCCTCCTTGCACTACACAAAAACCTCCTGCCCAGCAAAACTCAAAACCCACTCCACCCCCAACCTAACCTCCTCCTCATGCTCCGCCAGCTGCTCCATAATCACCTCGCCCGCACTCGGTCCATCCACCATCCTGTCCTTGACATGAATAATCACCACCTTCAGTCCCTCCAGCGGCTGCTCGGGCAACCGTCTAGCCAGCTCGACATTGATGTCTATGTCAGCATTGGAGTCCGTGTCCATCATATCTTGCGTCGCGCCGTTGAGGTAGAGTGACATGGAAGTGGCGGGCGTGACGTTCGAGGCTGCGGATGAGACGAGGCCTGAGGTTCCTGAGGCTGTTCCGGAATTCGAATTTGAATTCGACAAGCAGGAGGAGAGGTTGGCGCTGGGGTGGTTAAGTTGGGAGAAGTGCACGGCTGCTGGTACGGCTGGGGGTGGGATGGGGGAGTTGGACATGGACATGTAGGACGAGTGTGGGGAGCCGTAGGGGGAGGTGGGTTCGGAGAGGTGGAATCGCGGGAGGCTTTGTTGTTGTTGGGAACTGCTGCCCATTTGGTGTTGCTGGAGGGATGTGTTGAATTGCGGTTGGTGGTTGACTGTGGCGCGCTGCTGGAAGTCGTCCAGGGACAATTCGGCTGTTGGAGTGGCGAGATGAGGTGTGTCGATTACGAAGCCTGTTGGGTTGCGAGGGTTGACGCCGTCGTTGTCGTGCAGGGAGGTGGTGCTTGCTGCGGCGGCGGCTGCTTGAGCGGAGGCGGAACTGAGACGGTTTTCATAGCGCTTGCCGGACTTGGGCGAGATGGAGTCTTCTGCGGGATGTCGGGGATCTTGTTGCTGTGATGACTGTGGTTGTTGGCTTTTGTCTGCTCCTGCTGCTGTTGATTGTTCCCCTCTGGTTCTGAATCCCGGGTTGGCGCTGGCTGCTCGTGCATGGGACGTAATTGTCCTTCGTCGGGTGTTGCGGTCCTCCTCCTCGGCGCGTTTACGCTTCTTATCGCTGCTGAGGCTTCCGTAGTCGGAGTAACTCCTTCCCATGGGACCCGGACGGCTTGTGGATTGGCGCTTGATGCCGTGTTCCTTTTCGTACTGTCTGCGCAGGATATCCATCCTCGCAGCCGTTACCTCCTCGGCCAAGGCGGTCATCTCCTCGACGATATACCTTGGTGTAAGGTGCCCGAACAACCGATCGTCCGTCTGAGAATCGTCAAAACTGCACTCGATGAAAATGGCAGTGAGCTTCCCACTGGCAATCTTGGGGGCGGCCTCTCGCCAGATGTTGCGATTCCGTGGTGACAAACAGAGGGAGTCTGGCTCGACGTCACCAAAGATGATGATCTCCGTACCCGTTGTCACGTCCCGGATGAAGTAGGCCGAGCTGTCGTAGACACAAACTGATTCATCTGGTGCATGTCCGCCACCGAGTCCAGAGATGGAGTTGCTACGGCCGCCACCGCCAAACAGGTTTCCGAGATGAATAGACATACGGTCCTGATCTCTTTGCTGTTGCTGTTGCATAAAGGCAGCAAGACTGTTGTTAGCCGACGTTATGCTGTTATGGTGGGCAATTCCACGGGGCCCCAGGTGGGACATGAGCGGACTCATGACACCCATGGGTGATGCTCCCATGGAGGAAGCATCAAAGCTTCCTGGGCGCGTAACGCTGCCGCTGCCGCGATGGCTGTGCCTTTCGTAGCAATGGCCATGGCTGACGGCCCAGACTTTAACTGCGAGGTCGTCCGTGATTTCCAAGTATCCCTTTGACTCGCCCTCTCCCCAGCGCCGGTGAGCCACCCTCTACTAGCCGGGTATATGTCACCAAGCCGACACCGTTGTTCTCGTCACTTAGGTTTGGCCAGATGATGTTGTTGAAGATGTGAGTCTTGAAAGCTGCTATCGTGTTGGGTAGACCGGCGAGCTTCTTGGGTCTGGAACTACCCAGACCAGCTGTGTTGATTACGAAGCCAGCGATATGGTCGAGATGAGGGTGCGTTATTAGATATGTGTCGATTAGGGTCCGGTGAATGAAGGATGCATTGGCTGATGACTTGGCCGTGGGGACTTGGAGCCCGGCGAATGGCCCTGTTGTGAGGGTGTAGGGCAACGTGTGTTCTTCATCCTCGCCAAGTGTAGCTGGCTGAGTCTTTGCCAAAATCTTCTCGATGGCACCGAGGTGCACGCCTGCATCCACGGCAATGACTGACCCTCTCCTCCAGCCTGCCGCTATCGGGCGTACGAGGAATGCTGTGACATTGGACTCGAGGGGTCCTCCACCAGAGCCCTGATAAGTGCATGTTAGCGGAACCTGGCAAAGAAGTGATAATCAGATCAAAGACAGCCTATTAGCCCTGCGATTCCCAGTATTCTCACTTGGGATCAAATGTGATTTCCCAAGGTCCCAAAGCCTATCCAGATCTGCTAACACGCCTGGGTCTCCAGAGATAACCGTTATTGGTGATAAGTGACACGTCTAAAACGCGTCGAGTCACCCCCGAGCCGTGGCGTACTTGCGCTTTGTGGTTGGGGTGACAGATAAGGATCCCATTGTTCCCCGACCCGAGACATTGAACAAGGAAACATATGAAAGCACCTAGAATAGAGGCAAATCGAACTACGACTGCTCAATCGTGGGGATGGGCTCACTTGAAACAAGGGAAGCGCACAGGCACTTGCCCGGCACGGACTCTTTGCGGCTAGGTATAAGAGAGACAGACCCGTTGTGACGGCGTTCTAAGCCGTTAATAGTGGCGTTGTGAAGTGTTGAAGACGAAAGGCTGCCAGGAATTGGCTTGAGCTGAGGTGGGTGTGGGGTGATGGTTGGGGCAAAAGTCGTCATGGGATGAAGGGCGTATCAAGGTGAAGAGAGGATGAGAAGGGAAGTCACTCACCAGAACAATGACTTGCAAGGCCGGTGCCGGTGAAGGTTTCTTGTCGGTTGTTGATGTCTTGTGGCCGTCGCTGGTGTTGATGTTGGTGTCGTTGGCCTCTCCGGGGTCACCATTGGCGCCGCCTCCGCCTCCCATGTCCACAGATATTGAAATCTCTCAGAAGCTGGGCGAATAAGCCGATGGATAGTTCCTTCCGTTGGGGTCGTCTTGGAGGGGTTTGAGGTTGGTGGTGGTGATGATGAAAACGAGTGGAGTCGCGGTGATGTTGGAGGAGAGACTTGGTGGGGTCTTCCTTGGGTTTGCGACCTGATGAAGTGGAATGTGATGATGTCCGGCGTGGCAGCGAGGTGGAAGCAAATGCGCCTTGTGAGTGAGCTGGTCGCTGGCGGTGTGGTAGTCCTCAATGGCTTCGTCCTTTTCTGAGGATATCGGTCTCGTGATGATGGAAGGGGAGGATGCTGAGGTTGACCCAATTGCGGGCTCGAAGTTGCCGTTCTCTGAATGGAGGGTTGGTAGACGCGATGCGCTCGCTATCTTGGGCTGAGCTTGGGGAATTACGCTAGCTCGGGTGTAGCGAATGGCGGGGAGGTCTGGAGGTGACACCCTTTGTACGTCCGTAAATAGACCCGTGTCTGGTTGTTCGTGATACAAGAAACCTGGAGCGGGACTACAGCTTTTCCTTCTTGTGAGAGGTGGCCGAAGAGTTATATAAGATCCGAGGTTAAAGGGGGTTGAAGTTGGTGATGGAGTGAGAGTGAGTGGGAATAGAAGTGTATGTCAGTGGGCGAACCGTGGACAAGGAAAGCATTCCCGTCAGTGTGTCTTTGTGCGTCAAAGCGCTGAAGGGGTCCCCCGATTATAGTGGGGGTCACATCAACGTTCCAGAAAGGGAAGAACCGGTATACCCTCGCACTCATTCTCTTCGTGCCATCATACCTACCTGTCAAATCAATCAAAAACCCCCCTCAATCAATCGCATCTTTCACACAAATCCACCGGGGAACCGATGAGAAAAAAAATCCGGGGTTTCCCAGATCTGGTACTCGGCAGCACTCGGCAGCACTCGAGCTACGAGAACCCGCCCATTCTGACGACAACATGGTGCTGTCTGTCGGACCATGAGCAACCTTTCAGAAGTGGCGCCCAGGTAACCTAACCTAACCTAACCTAACCTATTGTGATGCCGGAAGGACCCCTGAATGGAGGACTCGAGCCGTGCAACGCCGGGACCTAAGGGAAAAAAAAAACCAAAAAAAAAACCAAAAAAAAAAAAAAAACCTGTTGTAAGTCGTTACCTACTTTGTATGCTTGTTAAAATATCACGGGCGTATCACAACGGCCTTCTTCGCTCGTTTCATGTTTCGACTTCCCTGTCTCGAATCTTTCCCGATGTTGGACAAATGACCCCAAGTCTCCCCTCCCGAGCTCGCGGGCTCGCCGTGTGTGTGTGTGTACAAGTAAGAGCGTACAAGCCAGTCGGAGGCGTCATCTAGGTGCAGGTGTTCACTGTGCGACGGCGTTGCCCTTACCTTTTACTCTAGACTAAGTACCTAGTCTTGAGGGACTCACTCGATCGAGGGTTACAGAGAATTAGTCACAACTCCGAAATAATGCGGTAGAGGTAGGTCTGAATCTGAGACTAGTTTAGAAGGGTTACCAGTAGTGCCTATCCTGTCATTGAGGTGGGCCGCCAAGGCCCTTCCGACGGGAGCCCTAACTTATTTCAGGAGCTAGACTACTGAACACGCTCTCAGCAACGCCAACGCCAACGTCAACGTCAGCTTCATCTTTTATCTGACCTCTCACCCTCTAATCATATCTCATTCCTTTCTGCCCCACACCATATGTTGAGGCACGTCTCATGCCCTACGGGAGGCGGAAGTAGACGTTAAAAATAACACCAACAACAACAAAAATACCATATGTTGTTCCCAAAGCCTTCCTTCAGCCTTTAACTTCACCACCTCAAACTTCAAAGCATCATCAAACCCTTTGATGACAGATCACCACCACAAGGGCAGCAATGACGCCAATCCACCTCGTCTCCAAGCACAACAACGCCCAAACAAAAACCGGCTACATTGACCAATCAACCCTTCCCCCTCTCCAAGAATCCCCCTCCTCCGTCCGCGTGCGCACCCAACTCATTTCTCTCTCCTCCAACAACCTCACCTACGCGCTCGCCGGCGACCGCTTCGGGTGGTGGTCTGCTTATCCCGTTCCGGCCGGCACCAAACTCAAGTCTGCAGAATCCCAAAAAGACACGTCCACCGATGCCGACCTTGACCTGAACGCATCATGGGGCATAGTCCCAGCCTGGGGCTACGCCTTGGTCTCGGAATCCACTCATGCTTCTATCGCGAGTGGCTCTCTCCTCTGGGGTTTCTGGCCTACCTCTTCTCACTCCTTCGACTTGACCCTCGCCTCCTTCCCCGAGTCCGACCGTCAACCAGACTCTCACTTCCGCGAAGCCTCCCCCCACCGCGCAAACCTAATGGCCATGTACAACCGCTACGTCCTGGTCTCCCCCTCCCCCCGGCTTAACTTGGACAGCGACTCAGCAGCTCAAACGGTCCTCTCCCGCCCCGTCTTCGAATGCGGCGTCCTACTCGAGAAATACACCCTTCACCGCCACCGCTTCACCCACCCCCTCGGCTTGCCGCGTGGTGCACCAGCTAACACCATCCCTGGCGTCCCCGCTTGGGGAGAAAAGGATGCCGACCTAAGAAAGGCCGTGGTGGTCAGTTTATCGGCTGGTACCAAGACCGCGAGGAGCTTTGCGTGGATGTTGACGAGCGAGAGGAGTGCGAGGGGGGAGTTGGAAACAGAGGGGCCGAGGGGATTAGTGCAGGTTACTAGTGTCCCGCAGACGCTGGCAGACTTTGCTGCTGGAGACAGAAGGAAGACCAAGTTGAAGGTGAAGAACGTGGGGTACGGAAGAGAGGAGTTGAGGGCGGTGGTGGAGTGGGTTAGAAGACTTCAGGAAGAGGAAGGGGTGGAGAGAGTGGTGATGGTGGATTTTGGAGCGGCGAAGGAGGTTACCGAGGCTTTGGTTGAGGGGTTGAAGGCAACCGCCGAAGGTGGTGGTGATAGGAAGGGATTGGACGTGTTGGGGTTGGCGGTTGGAAACGAGTCCAAGGTGTACTCGGGTGAGGAAATCCAGGCACGGATGGCGAGTGGGCAGGCGCTTGGGAAGGTGCAGTTTAACACGAGTGGGGTTCGCGATAGGGCGGCTGAAGTGGAGGGCGCCACGGCTTACTTTGATGGGGTGGATGAAGCCTGGAAGCGATGCTACACAGAGACGGGATTGGGGGAGGTCCGATTCGAACGGTACCATGGTGTCGAGGGTGCCAATGGTATTGAGGGCGCGTGGGGGGCGCTCTGCGAACAAAAATTGGCCCCCAATACCGGAATTGTGGTTCGGTTGATATCTTGATACCTTCCAGGTTCTCAGGTCTTTGATATAGCTGGGGTTGTGATGCGGTTCGATGTTGGTATCTTTTCTCGATCCCCTTTCGCTTGTTGCTGATCCGGACTTATACCACTTTCTCCTTTGTCAAAGGAGGGCTGAAATAAGGCTTTCCACCCAAGCCCATCTGGTTACCGTCCATGCTTTCTCTCTCCCTCTGTATTCTTGAATCCCTTTTTCGTGAAGTCGAGCCTTGGCCCCATGATAAGTTACGACTGCCCTCATGGACATGACGCCAAACGACCACTCGCACTTGGTGGAGGTTTCTTCTCCCACCAGCAATTCTCCAGCAGACGATGAGTCCAAAGCCAGCACACCAGAATCTGCAACAACCACCACAACGATACTCTGCAAAAACTGCCTCGAGTACAACTTCAGCCGGGAGACACTCGCTCCTGAATGCTGACCAGGAGACTTGCATGCCAATGCAGTGCTCACCACCTTTGGCAAGCTCGGTGACTCTTCCACATTCTATCCCTTGTGTGAGCTTATCTTGAAAGGGCTTGAAAGCAATTATTTTGCTAAGGACAATATAGGTCTCCCGTTGGAGCTGCGGGTCGGCAGAGATAGTGAGGTCTTTGTCTCGGTCTGGATAGAAGATGAGACCACGATAAGCTTCTTCATCATACCTCCTGAGGTAGATCGTCCTCACCATCTTATCACGAGACTTAGGAATCGAATTTGCGCGTCTATTCGGGTGCGTATAACTCGGACTTTCCATACAAGTAAGATCCACTGCTGATGCTGGCACACCACAGAGAACGAAGACTAGGCTCACTCACCGCCGCTTGTACCGTGGAGCAAGTCATGTTTAGATCTGCTGAAACGATGGCTCGAAGACTGCATTAGTCGGCATGGTTCAAACTGTCGGACGAGTCTCTCTGGTGAGCAGTTCGATGAGTCGTTACCGCCCATCCTTCCCTCTCGAGTCATCGACGTAGGCCCACTGTATGGCTCCGAGATCGCCCGCCTTTTGGAATCGAATGGGAGACATGGACATTACACCGCCCTCAGTTACTGTTGGGGAAGTGCTCAGAAGTCTGACCGACCGTATCTGACTACAACAAAGACATTTGAAAAGCACCTCTCAGGGCTTCCGTGGGATCTGCTTCCCAAGACGCTTCAGGAGGCCATTCCCTTGACCCGGGCAATTGGGGTGCAATATCTGTGGATAGACTCGCTGTGCATCATCCAGGATTCCAATGCCGACTGGGAGAAAGAAGCATCAACAATGGGCGCCGTGTTTTTGCAAGCGCGGCTTGTCATTGCCGCAACCACAGGCACGGATGCGGGCACCGGTCTGTTTCCTTCTCGGACATATATTTGCCGTCCAGGTCAGCCGTATCTTTACTTCCGCAAATTGCCCGCTGAAAGAGGGTCTGGGAAACGCAATCTGCCTCTGTTTACGAGAGGGTGGGCAGCTCAGGAATGGGCACTTGCAAGGAGGATTGTGTTTTGGACCCAAGAACGGATGTGCTGGTTCTGCGCAAGTGCATGTGTCGGTGATAATGGTAAGCGCATATACTCTGTATTGTCTAATCAGCGTACTACATGGGAGGCGATTGTGAAACTCTACTCTTGGAGGAATCTCACCTATGCGAGGGACAAGCTCGTTGCTTTCAGGGGAATCGCCAACGAGTTACAGAAGAAGAGGCCGACAGACAAGTACGCGTTCGGATCGTGGCAGTCCAATCTACCTCCACGACCTTCTCTGGTCATGGCAGGCGGCTGCAACTGACCCTGGACTGGAGAAATTGCATATCCCGTCATGGTCGTGGGCTGCCCATCCTAGTGGCGTGGGATTTTTGAGCAGTTATACCCCTGCCCAGTCCTCTTCTATTTCGATCCGAGAGGATTCTTCCCTACACATCATGGCAAGATCCAAAAGAGTTGATCTCCATGAACCTGAAATGGACGAATTTTGGTTCCACTGGTTCGGACATGAGAATGGAGAGATCACTTACGAGAAATGGCTTGAGCCAATTGCGGAAGACATATTCATGATTCGCCCCAAAGACACGGGCCCTGGATTGGTCCAGGTTGGCCTTCGCGTACAACAGCTATGGGTTGTGTTTGACAGAACAGACTTTCTTAGTATGTTTCGGAGATAGCGAAGTAACTTGGGGATATCAGCGAGCATACCTGATGAGTTCTCGTTCGTGGAAATAGAAGATAGAAATCCCAACATCTATGGCTATGCGGGCTTGTTGTTGCGCAAAAGCCATCTTACACCCGGGAAATATGTCAGAGTTGGAATGGGTGTTGCTTTCGCTGGATGGTTTCGAGATGCGAAAATGGGCGAGTTCATCGTTGAATGACGGGTGGGCCGAAGGACGGAAAATCAAGAGTCTTCTTGGAAATAAAAAAAAAAGAGGAGAGGACATATTGAAAAGAACGATGCGAACAAGGCTGTTGGGGTTTGTCGTGTAATCATTCTACGGGGATGTTGTGATTGTGGCCGATTGAAGTGATTGTAGAAACGAAAGAAGTGGTTGTTGTGAGAGGAGAAAAGGGACGACATGGCACATCCAGATTCTGTCCACTGATCTTTGAACACTCCACATTTCCAGACCTTCCTTCTCATTTCACCATCCTGTCCGTGAAAAGTCCAAAATGACGCATGCCCCGTCCCCTCTGAACATGAATGCCGAAGATAGGTGTAGTGCCGAGGTGTGGAAAGAGCTTACAGGAGATGGGCCGCTTGGGGCGGGCGCGTCTTGAGGGTTCGATTCTTCCCAGGTCCCGGCATAACCGCAGCTCAACAGGAGAAGGTGCCGTTACGACCATGAAGCTATTCAAATACATGAATTGGGCGTCTGTCGTGACCGAGCCAAAGGGTATACGACTTGAGGAAACAACCGTGTAACTAAGACGCAGGGAAGTACCCAGTGATCAAGGCACTCAAGGGAATATAAACGGGTCTGCGTGAACCGTGGAAGAAAGCATCAAGGCGATATTAAATCAGCAAAAGGTTGGCCCTAAGGAAAAAAAAAAAAGAGAAAAAAACAATGGGTATCTCTACTCGCGCCAACTTCAAGCATACCTGACTCACACCTACTCTTCTCAGAGCTCAGTTACTCAACCCTCAACCACCTCGACATAGCTCCTACACATCCTCAAAAACCTCTGCCGATACTCCTCGGGCGTAGTAGTAATACTCATGGGCCCACTCTTGCTGATCAGCAAATTCCACAGCTTGATCAACACCGTCATGACCTGCGGCTGCAGCTTGTGTTTGGCCCAAAAGAAGTCCAAGATCGACGCCCGGTAGATGTACTTTCCATCCGCTGAGGCGACTCCCGTTCTCCACGACGGTGGGCTAGGCGGGACCGATGGGCCCTCAGTCGGCATGATGTCTTCTACAGCTTCGGACGATGAAGCAGCCTTGGGATCAGGGTTGTTGTCTTGTCCCGGCGGCGTATGCATGCGCACCAAGAACAGCGAGTAATCCACCGCGTTATGCTCCGCCAACAGCTTTGTATCTTCCTCCAGACACTTGAAGAACTCGTCCGCCTGCTCCTTGCTCAACCGAATCTTATCATGGAACTCATCGGCCAACTGACTCTTGGTGGCCTCGCTGGTCAGCGCGCCGTCGGCGATGTCACGCTCGGGGTAGAAGTACGAGGTGGGCTTGAGGTCCCAATCTTCCCAGTCGACGTCGCCGCGCTTCTTGGCTTCGGAGCGGCCGTACATGATGTTCTCCATGACAATGTGGTGCGAGGGCGTGAGGCGCAAGATGCGGCCGATGGAGTAGCCCGATGCGCCGAGGAAGTCGCAGATGCGCACGAGCAGGGAGCGCGGGTGTGTGGCCATGTATTCGACGTAGGGCGTGAGGAGGTCTTCACGGAAGAAGGAGTGTTCGGAGCGTCGCGGGACAGACTTGACGAGGTACTTTTGGTCTTTGGTTGAGTAGAAGGTCTGGTGGGAGCAGTTGTCAGTCATTGCGCGTCTCATCAAGGTGAGAGGGGTGAAACTAACTGATCCAGAAAAGCCCATGTCTCCAATGGAGGTCAAGGACTCTTCAGGCTTGTCACCCTCTTGATGGAAGGACTGGTAGTAATCATCGTCTTCGACGTTCCAGTGGTTCCGTCGTAGGTTAGCGAAATCGGTCGATTGGATCTTCTGTAGGATCAACTGATGGATGGAGAAGAATAGCGAAAACAGCGACAGGATGAATCGAAGGGGATTCCTGTTGCTAGATCGTCGTTCTGCGAATCCAGTGGTGTCGATAATAGCCCGCGCAATCGAGCGCGCAATCGTTTCTGAACGTCCCATGGTGCTTATGGAGGTGTTTAGGATATGGTGTAGAAGAGTATTAAAAGGCCAAGAGTTGGGGCCCCTCAGATGTTTTCGTCTCCAAAGAAAGATCAGCTGAAAGACGTTCGGCCGTGCTGTTGATCAGGAACGACCGACGGCCTGGAACAGTCCCGTTTGCTCATTGACGTCATTTTGTTTACTCAATACCTTATCTGTAGTCAGCCCCTAACCCTTGTCCCTTTTGTTTGAAAGTCAGGAGATGGTCTGTGCTTCGCTTAGGAACTACAAGTACGTACCTACTATGGTGAGCCGACTCATTGCTGAGACGATCTGTAGAGGGAGGTGACATTGGGGCTGATGGTGATGTGATGTTCCTCGAAAACAAGAGCCCAAAACGATGAAACTCTCAGGTAAATCTTAAGAAGATAGATAGTATGAATTCTTGAAGTCAAAAGTTGGATCTCAGCTTCCATTATCAAGCGACAAGCCCCTCTGTAATATCAGGGACCAACCTAACGCCTAAAACCCCACGGTTGTAAGTACCTTGCTGGCACCGGACCCACACGAGCCCCACCATCCATAGCTGCGTGACGACCCCATCGCCAGCCTTGACCGCATCGCATCGCGACAGTGCAGCCCGATCTGGCTTCTACCAGACTTCCGCATATTTTTACATACCTAAGAAGACCTGTTTCCCAGATTTCGGCTGTAATCGGTTGGGACACAGAAAAACCAGCAAAGATGCAGTCAGGAATCTCCGGTAAGTAGCTGTCACCATCGCACCTCCTGCCCCATCTTTGGAGCCCAACCGGCCCCTGGAAGAAGCACTTGGACGCCATCACCAGAGAGCAACAACATAGAGGTAGCTAACATATCGAACCCATCGCAGCCTCCAAGGAGCTGGTCTCCCAATTCAACGACCTCCTCCGCTCCGAATCGACCTTTGGTCTCCTCGTCAACATTTCCAACGAGCAACTCACGCCCATCCAAACCCTGACCTCCTCGTCAGGCTCCGGGAGCGCCTCCTCCTTCGCCTCCAATGTCGACACCCTCCTGACCCCTCACATCAAGGAGAAAGAAGCTCTCTACATCATCCTCCGCCGCTATGACTCCTCGCCCGCGCTGGTCGCCGTCACCTACGTCCCCGACACCGCTCCCGTGCGGCAGAAGATGTTGTTCGCCTCTACGCGCTTGACGCTGGTCCGCGAGCTCGGGTCCGAACACTTCCGCGAGACCATCTTCGCGACCACCGCCAAGGAGCTGACCAGCCAAGGATTTGAGAAGCATGATGCCCACACGAAGCTGGACGCGCCGCTGACGGAGGAGGAGAAGAGTCTTGGCGAGGTGAAGAGGGCTGAGCAAGAGGCTGGCGCGGGGACGAGTAAGCGGGAGATTCACCTGGGGACCCATATGGCTATGCCGATGGGGGAGGATGCGCTTGAGGCTCTTAGGGGGTTGTCTTCTGATAGTGGTAATGGGTTGGTGATGCTGGTATGTTCTTCCTTTCCACCCTCTTTCCCTCTCTCCTTCTTCCTCCTGTCATAACCATGAGTGTCACTAACAACCCTTTCTTCCAACACAACAGAAAGTAAACCCCACCTCCGAAACCATTGAGCTGGTACCCTCCTCTTCCAACCCATCTTCCATCGCCGACCTCGTCCAAGCCATCTCCCCATCCGAGCCGCGCTTCACCTTCTTCCGGTATACACACACGCACAGCGGCTCCGAGGAGTCGCCCATTTTGTTCTTCTACACCAACCCCAGCTCCACCGGTGGCCGCATCGCCATCAAGCAGCGCATGCTGTACCCGCTCATGAAGCGGGCCGTTCTGGAGGTGGCGAGCAAAGAGGGGCTGAACCCGGATAAGAAGTTTGAGGTGGAAGAGCCGAGCGAGATCACGGAGGAAAGCGTGTTGAGTGAGTTGCATCCCAAGGTGGTGCAGAGTAGGGGGTTTGCTAGGCCGAAGAGGCCTGGTGGCAGGTAAATCCTCTTTCGAAAGAAGGAGAGAAATGAGCAGGGGATGTCCGTTGATTCGTTCAAGCCAATGGAGCAGGCGGGTATTAGGAACAACGAGCGTGCTTGGTTCTCGCTTCTTTTTCCGGACTAGGGATGCTTACTTTACCTAGCCATGCATTATAAGTAAAGACGATAATTTGGAAATACCCATGAATATGTGAGAGGTCCGTGGCGAATGGTGGCAGGGGTTGAGATGACAAGTTGGTGTCCGCGACTCTTTTCTCGATCTGTGAGCGAATTCTCGGTGGCAAAAGGAGAGTTATTACACTAGCAGATAAGTCAACTTTCGTGCAGGCAGAGAGATAGTGCACCATCTTTCCATTGACCGGCAATATGGCATGCCTGGGGGAGACACTCCAATGATCACTTTGACTGTCATCTAGATGGACGGTTTGCTTTCGCGCGCTTGAAATTATGCGCTTTGAAGTCTTATTTTTACATGAAGGCCTACTCAAAGCCGGGTTGGGATGGAACTTTTGTCACAGGATCGCCTGTTAACATTGTCCTGTATTGTGAAGATCCAGCTCATCTACCTTTTAATCCTTTTCCAGACCAGGCTTGCTGATTTTTTTACTAAGCTTGTGATATGGTTGGCTCTTCGCGCTTTAAATATTACGATGGTTTGATAAACATAAAAAGATGCCCCGGGAGAGAGGTGCAGACGAAATAGTCCACTAACAGATTCTGTGGCCATCTAGCCCGGATTTCGATAGTGTTGTATCTTGTTCTCTTTTCTTAAAAGAAAAAGGCAGGCTTCGTTTGTTCGTCCACTCCGTGGCGAGACGTCCACGTTTGGGATTTACCAGGTGAGAATTCAGACACGTACAGGTTAGAATAGGTACCTATTGGAAATATGTGATAAAATGACCTTTGATGAACTCCAATGCTCGATACTCGTTGTCGTTTACCATGGGCTTCCCTGGGCCCTTTTCGGCAACATTTCTGTAAATAGCTCATTTAAGACCGTCCTTTGATATCTTTCAACCATAAATGGGTATCCCTCGTTTCGAGTATCAAATCATTGCCCATCTCTCACATCAATTCAAGAACGGCGCTGACGCCCTCCTAGGTACTCACCAGGCCAGCTCGCTCATAATGCCAGTAGCCTTGTGTTTGCCTTTCCGAACTTATCTATTCAAATCACCGGACTTTTGACGGTACAACATTTTGCACTGGTCATTGTTCACCTTGACTGATCTCAAGATTGAGTAATCTACTCCTGTTCTTTTTCCAACCATAACGTTTCGAGCTGGATGATGGGGACATGGAGCGAGTGATGATTGTGGTGGCTGCTGACTCAAGGCCAGCCATGTAGATGGTTTGATGGCGGTGGTTGGATGGGTGAATGGATAAGTGGGTGTGGGTAGATGGAACGGGAAAGCATGTCGTGGGATGGTGTAAATATCGTCAGGTTGTGGAGGAGGTCTGATACTGGGTCCTTTTTACTTTCGCTGTCTTCCATACACCCTTGGAACTCTTCTGCTCCCTGCGATATTGTCTTCTTCTCAGTGGAACCCTGTTCTAATCCTGCCATGTTACCGAACTTTAACATTCTCTGAGAGGTTCTGGTTACACTTGGGAGTTGGTCATCCTTCGTTCCGGATCACGTTAGTATTAGCAGAGCTTCTGAAAAGAGATAAGGGCTTCTTCTGAGACGGTAGATGGGACCAAGGGCTTTATGCGTACCCACCCGGGCCGCCCCCGAGGCCGCCCCCGAGGCCCGAAGATCACCTTTCGTGTGTCTCAAACGGGATGAAAGCTGGCTACCCACATGTACACATGGGGCCTGTCTCCCAGTTCCGGCACTTGACAACCCGGTCCCGGGAGTAGGCCTTATTCGGCCGTGACAGGTTGGACCATATGTATGGAAGTTATTCAGCGTGCTGCATGTGAAGCGACGCCAAAGACGCCAAAGATGTCTGGCTGTCACTTCATCTGAGTTTTACTGCCTTGTCTAGGCGGCTACGAGTCAGAAAATCAAGGCATTGGACCAACTTCCTTCCAGGAAGTGGGGGATTTCTTGATCCGAGTGGTGAGGACAGGTAGGTTGGCGTGAAGTAGGAGGGCAACAACGGAAAAATAAGGAGTTCCTCACTCCGGCTGGGTTTGGAATACCAGGGAGACGAGTATACTCTACGCAGGCAACTTCTTCTGGACGGGTTGCTTGTGAGAGTGATCCACGTAGCAGGCTTTGGGGTTTGCTGGCTTGGAAGTGATGGAGTGTTGGGAGTTGACTTTGTAAGACAACGCTGATAAAGAGACTCGTGCTTCCTTAACTCGGACTCAGGGCACCTGATGGCTGACGATTCGTGAGTGCCTTGTCTCATAGATTCACTTACACATGGCCTCACACATATTGGAGCGATGTCAGTTGTCAGCCTGTGCCTAGCATGCCTCTTGAGACGAGTGAGTCGAATCGTTCATGGTCGTTGCGAGAAGTTCCCGAGACCAACGGCACGGTGAACTTCTGTCTGCGGACACTTTTTGGATAATGCCAATATGCCGAATGATGTCGGTTTCCAGAATAGTTGGGCGAAGTGATCCGTTGGAAGCTGACCTCATCTTGTCGTCCCCCCGTTTGGCTCAATCGTCAGAGACGGAGCTACCACTACCCACCCGCTCCGAACCAAACCCACAGCCACCAACTTCTAGATCCAATACGACGCCAACGATGGAGCAATAAACTTTTGCTGTAGCTTGGCAGCTTGGTTCATCTTTTCTGTGCAGATTGTTTGCGGCCGCGGTGCGTGATAAGTCATGTTGGTGGGCGTACCGGATGTTGGGCAAAAGCCGGCCATGTGGTTGAAGTGAGCGAGCAGGCAGCAGAATTAACTGGCCTCTGAGTCGCTGGAGACTGGAGATGGGTCTGAGTTGTGGGTGACAAGTGCATCCGCTACTGCATCCGACCGTGCTGTATATTGGGCCTCGACGTGGCTGCCGATGTCGTTTCGCTTGTGTGACCAAGATCGCGATGTGGAAGGGGCCATGGTGTCTTGATGATAGACTATGGATGTGGAACGTATCGAGGGCCAAGTGGTGATGGTATGTAGTCGGGTATGAGGAGTGACCCGTAGCCGAACTGATAACCCGCCGAGGCCAGAGGCCTACCATAGAGGTACACTACTCAGAGATCCAAGCATGCCACGGGATGACATGTTCCAGGCAGTCGATCTTGTCACTGGGAATAGTTCTTCTGCCAAGCGGGACTTGTGTAAAGAGGCGATGTGATAAATCTGGCGGCCTAAAAGAGGCGAAGACGGTTGAAGTGTCCGAGGATGGAGCCTGAACAGCCTAACGCTAGAACTATCAAGTTTGTGATCCGTCATCCATGCCCATCCAAGTACCGATGACCGGTCGACAGGGTCATTGAGGCTTAAATCCGGGATCATCAGGTACCTAGAAGGGGGGGCCCTTGAAGCCAGAGCAGCGGGACCATTCCTTCACAAGCGCCATCGTGATGCAGAGTGAAGAGCCCAGGGAAACCAAGATGGATCAAGATCAATGGTGGCGACATGGTACAAACAAAGTAATATGGAAGCTGTATGAGCCGCTAGCGGGGAAACAATGACAATGATCGGGATCCTCAATCCACATTTGGTGTCGAGGTAATTTCCGGTTGGCGGAAGCCTGGTTGCGATGTCACGGATGTTGCAGTTTGGCCGTTGTGAGGAGTGAACAAGAGGAACTGAAAGTCGAAGAGAGAGTCGAGACAGGATGTCTTTGACAGTTGGCAGGTGTGATCTCGGCAACTGAAAGGGGCTGTCAGGTTGTGAAACTGCAGATCAATTGGCTACCTTTGACCAATCACACACCAAGGTCGGACCCCCGCTGTAATTCGCATTTCGACAAGCAGGCAGCAGGATTCCAGGACCCCACCGTTAACCAATGGCCAAACACGCGGTTCAGAAGCCACGCACCCACGGGCACTGGGCAATCTTTCCTCAAAGAAATGCAGCGGCCGTCTAGACAAAACACTCTTTCTCAGGAAAAGGAAATGAGTCCAGGCACCGACATTCTTGAGAAGGAGCAAAGCCCTTACTGTTCGTGATGATCACGGAAAGTCTCCCACCGGCCACCCAGGCAAGAGGGGTCCGCAGGTCTGCTCACTCCCCGAGAATGACGGGAGACGAGAAGTTGCGGCTCTTTTCTTACCCGCCGCCCCCCGGCAACAATCATGAATTGACCCTTCCACGCAGTCTTCTGTTATTTCCATATATCGTGTGCCACACTCCTTCTACATTGACTGCCATCTTTCGCATACTTATCATTCAGATGGTCTCGGGCTACAATCGAACTGTGGTGTCTTAGCCTCCATTTGTCGCCTCTTCTGTGTCACGATACTTGATTTCAATTCAATCCTTTCTCGATATCTTCTTCGCTTTCCAGTCATCGGCTCTTTACTTCACGGCTAGTCAAGCTATCGCCATGTACTAACTCACAGCATCATCCAAACACAACCTCAGACTTCTAGCTGTCATTGACGCAGCGTCTCAGTGTAGAGCTTTCGACACGACCCGATTTGAACAGCAATCATGGCATCCGGTATTCCCATGGGCGGCTTCCAGTTGGGGTCGACCCTCAACAGGAGACTTAGCAGGCTCTACAACGACACCAAGAAATCCTCCGACTTCGTCAAGGAACCTGCACAACATGCCGAGGCCGACCCCGAAATCAAGTCCCTCCACCGCAAGCTCAAGATCCAGAAGGACCGTCTTGTCAGCTGGGGCCTGGAATGGTCTGACCCTACTCACTCCGCCGAGGTCTATATCGACTCCTCCCTCTCCAAGGCCGGCCTGAGCGAAGTCGTTGGAAGTATCATGTCCACTATCAAGGACATCCTAGCTGAAGCCGAGCCACTATGGAACAGCTCCAAGCAGCTGACCGGTGAGAGCAACGAGCCATATCAACCACCCAAGCGAGGCGAGAAGATCAGGTTGGTGGTGTGGGACAAGAGCCGCTTCGAGGACCTTATCCGGGATTTGACGACATCCATCGATACTCTTTACGACCTGTCCAGGACGAGATCTTCCTATGCCCAGCACTCATCCGCCGCCCGAGAGAGGCTTCAGAAGGCCGTCGCCTCTCCTTTTGAAGAGTATCGTCCATTCGAGTCTACCAGGATCCAGACACCCCAGCAGATCGATCCTGCCACTCTCATGAACCTACGAGAGATGCAGGCTGTCCCCATGACTGAGGCTGGAAACCCAGAGCAGGGGACAAGGGATATTGTCTTCATGGGCAAGCAGGCTTATGCTGAGCTGATGGACCGAATGGGCGCTCATATCCCCTATGGACCTCTACTTCTGGAGTACGCGCCATTCGATTCGATCTATTCCATCACGGGCATATCACCACCAATGACACGGTTTGAGCGCTTGTCATCCGGTCTTCAATCTGATCCCCAGCGTTCATCCAATTCGTGGGCTGGCCTACCCAGGTTGCTGGGTTATTTTGAGGATATGGAGAACTCAAGGTTCGGCTTGGTCTACAGGTTTCCCCGGACCTTCAATCCTGTCACCTACGAGAACCTTACCCAGAACCCATTGTACTCCATGTGCTCATTGGGAGATCTTCTCGCTCGTCCGGACTTTGAACCCAAGCTGGAAGCCAAGTTCCGTCTGGCTGCCAACCTGGCCAACACCATCTTTGATATGCACGCCAGAGGCATCACTCATGGCAACCTGCTTATTGACAACATCTCCTTCTGCAATGCCGTCAGCACCGATCCAGAGATCAGCGGGATGAATCAAGGCGAGGTGGACATCAGACGACCTTTGATCTCGTCGTTTGACCTATTCTCAGAGCCACAATCACAAGACGAACCTGAATCCTTCACCCCTTATAGACATCCTTTGGATCCAAAGAACAGCACCCAAAGCCCTCTCAACAACAATGCTGATTCCAAGACACTGGATCTCTATTCTCTGGCCATGATCCTCATTTCCGTCGGTCTCTGGAACAAGCTGGAGAACATCCTCCCGGATGTTAAGAACCCAGTCGTCTCGGATGCCATTCTAGATCAGCTGGCTACCCGATGTGGCACCCTTTACATGAAGGCCGTTCAGACTTGCTTAAAGGCGGTTGATCAGGAGATCGGGGGTCAACATACAATGGACGAGATTGCTCGTCATGTCGAGTTCAAGGCCAGCCGGTACCTGGAAGCATGCTGCATTCTGGATGGCGTGAGCGCTCTGGAGGAGAGGTTGGGCGATGACCTTGCACCTGCTCCGACTGTGCAGATTCCATCAGCACCAACCGCTTCTGGTTCAGGTTCCTCTAAGGAAACCAAATCTGAGAAGTCCGCGGTTGAAACGCCCACTCCTACGGCCCGCAAGAGTGAAGAAGTAGATCCTCCCATTACTAGCATCATGGTGCCGGATCCAGAGGCGGAAGTGCGGGCCAAAATCCAAGGTAAGCAGCTTTCCGTCCGAAGTATCACAATATCTAACACGTTACAGCGCGCCAAGCCAGACACTCTTCAGCCAAAGAGAAGGCACGCCTCTACCCCCAAGTACCCTTGCCGCCCGATGTTGTCGAAGAGTGGAACTCTGTTCTCATGCCTGAGATCAACTCGGCCCTCAAAACCTTCTATCGCAAGAACCCGGAATCCGTCGAGATCTCCCTCGAATCGATCGGCGAGTCGCCAGCGCGTACTAAGCCTACCGTTCTGGTCGTCTGCACTTCAGTCAGCAAGGTTAGGGCTATCCTGAAGAAGAAGCTAGGTGTTCTGTTCGATGGAACAAGGTCGAGCCTCGGTCTCAAGGTATGCAAGGGCCAGGTTCTCAGGTCACGAAAGCAGGTCATCAATAGGAGCATGGCCAACCCCGAGGATACTGGAGATGTAATTGCCGCCAACCCGTCATACCAGCCAAAGCCACAGAATGGGGCCAGTATCGGGGCTTGGATTGGCGATCGGCACTTGCCGCCCGTCAGTTTGGGAGGACTAATTGTTGTGGACGACAAGGCCTATGGAATGACGGTCCACCACATGCTGGATGACCCCGAGGACAACCAAGCCACTGATGATAATACGAGGAGTATGGCAGGCGGAGGCCTTAACGATCTAGCCGCATGGTACGCTCAACAGTACTCAAACACCGACGAATCCTCTCCCGACAATAGCGAAAACGGTGACTACGCTTGCGAATTCTCCGACACCGATTCCGAAGCCTACTCCGAATCAGCCATAACCAGCGAAGCTTCCGACGACGACGACTACTACGAAGAAGAGGAGCAGTTCACCGAACCTGGCGACATCCCAGGCATTGAACCTGGGTGCGGCGAAGGCTTCATCATCACGCAACCGGCCCTCGACGACGTAGCCAGCGACTTCTACCCCTCCGCTGAAGATAAAGATCAAGACCACCTCGACACCTTCCGGGTTGGGGAGATGTACGCCTCCAGCGGTATTCGGCGCCGGAAAGAAAATGGGCTCGTGCACGAAATCGACTGGGCTCTGTTCGAGTTTGAAGACGATCGCCAACCCTCTGATAACTTTATCCCCAAGGCATCTGCCCCTTCCTCGGGTAAAAAGGGAAAGGCACACCAACGCATTCAAAGCATTCCCCCGGACCAAATCCCAACAATCCTCCCAACCTCGATCGCCCCCTCACACACTCTTCCCGGTCTCCAAGTTCAGTGCATGGCCCGCACCTCGGGCCTTCAAATAGGCACCATTATGTCCGCCCTCACCTCGGTGAAAATTCTCGGCCGCGTGTCTCCCAGTCACACTTACCAAGTCTCAGGTACTCCCTCCCTCGGTCTCGTACCCAACCGCCCCAATCGACCCTCCGGATCCGGCGACCAAACGATCAACTCTCGTCGCCAGCCGCTTCCGATGGGAATTCCCGGTGACTCCGGAGCCTGGGTAGTACAAAGAGACGGAGGTAGTGTCTGCGGCCACGTCCTCGCCTGGAGTAGCAGGAAGAGGGTTGCCTACATCTGTCCCATGGAGATTCTAGTGAGGGATATCGCCGAGGTTTTGGAAGCAGAGGAGATCAGGTTGCCAGGTCCTACCGGCGCAATTATATACCAGGCCTACGACGAAAGGACCCCTGGAGTGAGCAGACAGGCTAGCAAGACCAGTACGCGGACGGTTGGAAGCGGTGATGTGTATGGAGGAGGGAACATGAGCAGGCAGACTAGCGCGGCGAGTGCGCGCACGTACATCGGCCGTCAACAGGATTTTGGGTCATCGGGACTGGGTAGGACTTTCTCAAGGGGGAGTGCCTTTTCCGGCATCGGACCCCCAGGGTATGATGATTACCCTGTGGACGAAAACACAAACATGTCTGAACGCCAGTCAAGCGTTCGACGCCTACAGAAACAAGTAGAAGAGGAATACCTCCCCTCATACAGCGAGCTGAAACAAGCTCAAGCCCAAGCGGCGACTGCTCAGGCGGAGAGAAGAGGGACAGCAGGAAACAACAAAATCAACAGCAACGATGATGATAACAACGGACACGACGAGGGGGTAGAGGATTTGGAGCATGATTTTAAGGATCTTCGTTTGGAAGCTGCGGCTCTAGAGGGCGCGATGCCGTACTGGGTGGAGCGTGGGGGGGGACTGGTATTGCCTGAGATTTTGGATCTGCGGAACTGTGGAAGTTGGATATACAGTCAGAAGATGCTTACTTATTTTTCATGTTTGATAACCTAAACATTTTTTTGGTGAAGAAGTTGAACAGAAATCGACACGAACGAGGATGAAGCGGACCATCAGTTCTGACCACACCTTGACCTGACTATCCAAGCCCATCAATAACGCAAGGAAATTCTCTCCAGCGCTTTTCATATTGATGTTTCCGCATGTTAATGTTAGTGGTAGGTAAGTAAGTGGCCTGTTACGCCTTCCATGACACCTAGAGGTGGTCTACCTCCCTGTTGCACTTAGATAGGAGCTAGATACAGCACTATTTCAACCTCACCCAAATGTCACTTGTATCTGTTAGTGCCCTATCTGGTCTGTCGACCACTTCTGTTCGGTATGCCCAGAGCCACCCACGGAGCACCATCAATCACCAAGGACACTTTCCTTTTTCCACACAGGAAGGAATTTCAGGGAACTGAAGAAGGGATTCAATGAATGATAGACTCCGTTTCTTACGATGGTCTTGTTTATTTCATTTTTCCAATTTCCTTCTGTATTCCTTTGTCTTCGCATACGACTCTCAACCGTTCGAGACCCACATCCCCTCAAAGTTTGGATCGTTACAACCTCTTCATGTCTACCATCACCCCTTTCCCTTCTCCTCCAATACCTTCCACTTTTCTACCTACCCCTACTCAACCACCTTATCCCCTCCCCCTTCTCCTCCTCCTCTCATAATACCAACTCTCCAGCACCTTCGTCTCATCCAGCCGGCGTATTTCATCCACATATAATACGGCCTCTAATCCCGTATCAGGCTGAAGAAGCTCGGCTAGCTCGCCCGCCGTCATCACCCGCCTACTCGGCTCCGGCTCTAGCAGGCTTATGATGCAGGTGCACCATTGCTTGATGCGCGGAGCGTCGAAGCCGATGGATTCGAGGATGTGGTTGATTCTGTCGGGGACGGTGGGTTTGAGGCGGGTTTCTTTGGGTTCGCCTTCTTTTCCAGTTTTAGGGCCCTTGTTGTTGTTGTTGTTGTTGTTGTTGTTGTTGTTGTTGTTGTTGTTGTTGTTGTTGTTGTTGTTGTTGTTGTTGTTGTTGTTGTTGTTGTTGTTGTTGTTGTTGTCGTTATTCGAAGGTGTGGGCTCACTGGGACTGGTGTTGGGGGTCGGATTGGCAGCTGGACTGACAGTGGGGGTGATGTCAATGTCCATGTTAGTATTGATGTTGGCATCGGCGTCGCAGCCCTGGTCGACGGCGCAAGTTTCGTAGAGCCTTTTGTTGCTGGGTCCGGCGTCAATTTTGGTTCGTTTGAAGACCTTGGGAGATACGGAGTCGCGGTCGGTGTTGAGTGGTGAGGGGGGTCGTCGAGTGCCCTGTGACTTGTGTTAGTCTTCTGTTTTCTCGTTCTTCCTTTTCTCCTTGTCTTGCCCTTTTCCTTTCTCATTGCCCCCTCTCTTCTCTTCTTCCGTCGGACGTTGGTTATGTCATGTACTCACCATCTCCCCAAAAACATCATCAATACGCAGATTCTTTCCCCCGTACAGTCCCCAGATCAACACGTCCAGCATCAGCACACCCATCGACCACATATCGTACGCCTGCGTGACGGTCTTCGACAGATCTTCCGACTCGGGAGGAAAGTACATCTCGTTCGACGCCTCCAGAAATTTCTGATACAGTTCGTTATCAACGCGGCTCATGTTTGTTGAGAAGAGCTGGTACGCTGAAGGAACCACCCTCGGCTCTTCCGAATCTGGTGTCTCTGCCATCTCAACAACAGCACTACACTCGAACCCGGTCCACTCAAAGTGCAAATCGTGTCCACCGTTCTCCGTGAAGACCAGGATGTTGCGGGGTTGGATATCGAGGTGGAAGCCCTCCTTCTTCTTCTTGTCCTTCTTTTCCGCACCAGATAGTTCACTCCCGTTGTCGCTCCCTGATTTGCTAGGGATATAATGTATCGAAGCCAACGCCCCCGCGAGATGGGCGATTTGCGCCATGATCGGCCGCAAATGACCAGGGGATGTGAGGCTTCTGATGGAGGGATCGCCCAGAAAATGATCGAGGCGCCAGGTGGCGACAGGGAGGATAGTGTAGAATGTGGACTCATGGAAGAAGCCTTTGTAGTCCCGGCTTATGTGGGGATTTGGGACGTGCCGGAGGGAGCGGAGGAGGGCGGTGCTGCGGTTGATGGCTGAGTGGATGACGGAGGTTTGGGACATAAAGGGGTGGACGGATCTGATGAGTCTTATGGCGTAGAAGCCTTGAGTATTTGCCTGTTGAATGTTAGCTACGGCTTGGAGCCGGGTTGAAGACAAGGGCTGGATGAGGGCGGTGACCACCCGAGGTATTTCTGGATTTGGGCACCATTGACATACCTTCTTCAAACAATCATGATCCCCATGAACCTTCGCCTTCCTCTCCTCACCAATCCACGTCCTATAGCTACTCCCATCATCGGCCATCCAAACCGGCAACGCCTGCCCCGTCAGCACCGGAATCTGTTCCTCCCCATCCCCATCCTTATCTGTGGCTTGGGAGTTCAACCACCTTCCAGAAACCATAAACCGACTCTGATTCGGTATTAGCGTACTGACCAGTCTCTCCTCAAACTCCCAGTCACTTTCCGGCACCTTCACATCATTCACCATCAGCGGTAACCACTTATCATCCACCTCGTAATTCATCAACTTCTGCAACACTTGTTCATAGTCCGGAAACAGAAAAAAGGCACATGACGAATAACCATGGCGCCGTTTCGAAAGTCTTTTCTCGCAGGCTGGGCTCGGAGATCAAGTGGCTGATGATCTCTTGCTTGGAGAGACAGTGCATGACGGATTTCGGGACGAAGTAGTCTTGGAGTTGGAGTACATGTAATCCATTGGGACTACTGGCGGAGGAACCTGAGGGGAAGATTTGGAAGGAACGGCCGTTACGGTAAACGTAGGAGTGAGCTTCGGCGGGGGTAGAACAGGGGATATCGCTGGGTGGGATGGTAAGAGGGCTGTTGAGTCCTTGGGTGGTTGATTTGAGGATTGGAGGGTGAAGCCAGGTGTAGGCAAAGGATGTGCTGTTTAGGTTTTGGGGAGGCATTTTTGTGTTGCCTGTTTTAGTGTTTGGAGTGGTTGACTGATGGAGGGGTTTGCGTGGGGCTTGAAGGCAATCGATCAGCACCCATTTGACCTAGGTGTGCTCGACTGAAGGAGCATCTCATTTGAAGATATACCATCTTCTCTCGACTATCAACCTATTCGCTTTGCGCTGCTTTTATTGTCATGTGGGTTCATATTCTCCTGGCTTGGCGTGGACAGACAAACGATCTTTGCATGAAGCAATGAAAAAGGGGAACTCACGTGAGACTACCTGATTACCAGATAAGTGGCATTAACTCTTGGCCCCTTCAATGAATATCCTCTGAATGACTTTCAGCACGTTAAATGATGGCAAAGGGGATGTTATTACCCGTAGATGCAGGACAACAGAGGCCTGTTGATATCTTCATAATGGGAGTATCCGGTAAGCCCATCACCATATGAAAGACAAATTCTGCGATCTTTGCTGTTGGCTCCCACTTGGAGCTACACCTTGAAGGCCGGCGACCTAATTCTGCGAGCTCTACAGCTGAATTAGTCCGAAGCCCAAAGGTGCCACCCTGACGAACAAGGCCGGGAAAAGCCCACCTTCTTTCTCTGTGGGCAATCGGAATGGGACACCAACGAAAGGGTCAAAGCCGCCGATCTGACCTCCTCCATTTTTCTAGGCAGGTCTTTACCGTCGTAAGGGGCCGGGATATACTGAGTCTGTCTGTCTTCCCCACCCAACTCCTGCTTGAAGCGGCATGGGCCTACGCAGTAGCCTTCGGAGAAAAGATACTGGTACCAAAAGAACTCGCGAAAGGCATCCGCGTGCTTATCATTCAAGCCCCTCATGTGGCTATCTTTTATGGGGAGGCTGTGGTCGGATAGCTCGAACTGGTGGTGGTCATTATTAGTTCTAAGCATGTCCACAAAGAACTGTGTGTAAACACCAGAAGAAAGCACAGTTATCATGAAGATCTTGCGTAGCTTGGAAGCCTTATATCTCCCATGCAAGTTGTGCAGACACAGAATACTGTGGATTGTGAGATTGAGATCGGGTTCCATTCTGTCGACGATGATATTGGGGATGCAAAATAACTCGAGCGGGTGGCCACACTCTTTCAAGTGCGCCTGGAGGTCGACATAAATTGCATGGAAAAAAAGGTTTCGGAGTTCGCGTATGAGGACTTGGCTTTCCTCAAGGGCCTCCTTGGACACCAATTGCGTCCAAAATATGTGCCCCCCTTCGTGACTATTGAAACTACTAGGTATAAAAGAATGATCGGAGATTTCCATGTTTTCACTGTCTTTGATGGTGTAGTGTGTCGAGTAAAAGTTGAAAGGGTGCCAAAGAAAGCTGGGGTCCTGGAAGAAGAAGAGGGGGGAGAACTGACACCGGCAAAGGGCAGCTTTAACATGGCGCTTGGAGTTTTAAATAGGTCACTCACCTCCCCCACCGGTGTGTCATGAGAAAGAAATGACTTCAATGATATCATTTAAACTCCCATGCGAGTTGTAAGCCACAGTTTGCTCATCGTCAGACCAGTCATGGTGTTTGGAAAGGGCCATGGACTTGCTTGTCTTCCGGCAACTATCATCATGGTAAGCAAGCGATCAATCTTTCCCTTGAACTGGGACACTTACTCTTGCTCATGGAGCCATAAGGAGTTGTTTGTCCAATACGGTTATGACGCAGGCAAGCTAGGTACGATATACTGGAGACTGGTGGCTATTTCTGGCTGTGTCGGTGCCTGTCACGCTACTTACTGTCGGGATTTGGTATTTCTTTCGAAAAAGGATGATAATAAGAGGCCGTTTGAAGAGGAAGATGGAGAGAGTAAAATTACAGAGAGGGGAAAGTAAAATAAAAAAAAACTTAAGGACTTGTATTCCAGCCAGACAAGACGTGTGGAGGACCAGATAATCAAAAACACCCGCTTGCTGTACGGTCTCGAAGTTGATGGAACGCGAATTCGATGGGCTTCAGGGTCGCACTACCGTACATCTTGAGAGATGTCCAGATGATGTTGTGGAGGTGTGTTGGGTGAAGAGAGGATTTCTTACCTCACACTTGTTCGGCACGCTTTCCAGCTGCACAGCCCCTATGCTGCGTTGGCCAATGGCCGGTGCCGGAATGGGTTGCAGGCAAGCGCGAAGAAATCAGCCTCAGCGATGAAAGAAGATCAGGAAAATGCTTCATTGGTGGCTTGAGGGAGAGAGGAGGAATTCGTGGCCGGCCGAAGTCTGAAGTAGGCAAATTGGAATCAACCTGGAAATGATCGGGGTGGAATGCACTCGCCACCTTCCGACACCAAATGGCAAACAAAACAGTTGCCACTTCGTTAACTAATATTCGTCTCTTTTAAGTCTCCATCTGATTCGTTTAACCGATTGAAAAATGCCATTGCGGGGAAATCACATTAGAGTGTCACAAGTTGCATGCTCGGTTTCAAGCCTTCATCAACCTCGAACGAACCCCATACATCGAAACCCGCCACAACAAAAACGCACAAAAGGATACAGATTCCAACCAACCGACACCGTAATTGCTCTTTTGTGGGTTGTGCTGCTGTTTTTCTCAGGCAAATTGACTGATATTGTTTGTATGGGAAACTGATGCATGCACCGCTCCTTTGCTGCATCTGGTAGCAAAGCCTATCATGTAACCGTGGTTGTGAGTTGATTCCTTTTAAGTGTTGTCGCCACACTCACTCTTACACGGAAGATGAGAAACCTCGAGGGACATCCCAAAACCAATGAATAGGAAAGTGTTGTATGGATGTCTCCGGGAAGCGACACAGTCGGTTTTCCTAATATGCTTGATCCAAAGCGCGAGTCATACATGTGTTGCATTAACAGTTTGACTCTTAATCACAATGCAAAGCTGATGTGTACTCTATCCAGGGGCATTGAGGGAGATAACCTGGGGATGATGCATGCAGTGGTAGTGCCCGCTGCTCTCCTTCATTGGAAAGAATCACTGGTTGTGGTGCCTTCATTCCTAAATCGACACGAAAGTAATACATAGGTAAGGAGGCGAGATAGCAGCCTGATTGATTCTGAGTAAATTTGATAGACAAGTTCGATCCTCTCGGCTTGTGGCCAGGAATTGTTATTACATGTATGCTCATTGCTCATACGAACCGTGACAAATATATTTGTGAAATGATATCACTGATTCCTATCGCTTATTGTAAGTCAATTCTATTGACGCTATTGGGAAGATCCGTTATCCAACTTTATTGGCTTGAGAAGGGATCCTTGGAGCTCATGTGATGTTGTATCAGCCGGATGAGTGCACGATATGAAACCCAAAAGCAATATGCTCACCGGCCTCCAGAGATGTGAGGTTCCAGCAGAGCAGGTGCCGAGTGATGTGTGTGAGCGGCGACCAAGGTGAAGTACCTCGTGTGGTGGAGAAAGTCAAGAACGGATGTAAAGTCGGTGCCCGCCAGTCGATGGCGTGGGAAGACAAGACGTGGTACTTGAAGTTGAAGAAAAGGAAAATAAGAGGTGAACTGTTGGAAAGAAGTCGACTGAGTCTTTCAAAGAGATTGCAGAGAGCGTCCCCGCTCAATTTCCGAGTACATGCTCGCGTCATGCCCCTGGGTATGGCTTGCCTGCACTAGTGGTTGCCGTTCTCATTTTTCACCCAAGGACACGGTCAGATTACTCGCAGAGCTGCATCAGGAGTCAAAGAACATCTTCTATGTTTCGGAAACCGAGGTTATCAAGGCATTTCTTTCCTATTTTCAAGTGGCTGTGGCTCACCAGGGGGTTATTTCCAGGTGAGTCTTCCGGTATCTGCATTGCAAATAAATTACATGCAAAATGTGACCCAGGCAGAACCGCAACAAGAATCCGGCATTCAAGGAAGGAACCAGTCAGCATTACCTCCATGAGCCCAATGAAGCAGATAAGCCCAACCGAAAAGGGGAGTCGCGGGTGCCTGGACAACGAACTCAACTGCCTTACTAGGAAAGAGGATGATCCTCAGCTCTGACCGTGCCAATATGGATATCGATTCTGCTCAATTTATGATGTTTCTGGTTGATTGAACGTGTTAGTCCAAGTTTCCTAAAACTTGTGCCAATTTTGATCGGAAGAAAGGGGCGAAGCCAGCTTCTAGGGAAAGGAAGGTGTAAGAACCGTGCTCGAACATACCTCCGTGTCCTCTACAGCCGGATCCTTTAAGAGATGCTCAGCAAGTGCGTTCTTGTACCAACGAAAGCTTTCCAGGTCCTCCCAGTTCTTGGTAAACGCCTTGCGGCTGGGGGCAGAGTAGAGCCTGTAAGAGATTGACTCCAGCTTGGGCAGTCTGAGCAACTCCCGCCATTCCAGAGTGCTTCGGCCAAAGAAGATATGATTATTGCGGTAGCCAGGTAACACGTCCATAAACCCGATCTCCAACGTCTGCAAGCTTTTCAGGCTTGCCAGCCACTCCAAGGTGTTGACCTGGCGCAGCCCTTTTCTTGGCTTTGTGTTTCTCATCGGGATCAAGCCATGAACTGGACTCGCCCACCTGCCCATGTTACTGCCCCATAAAATCCAGCCTCTCACGGTGTCGGGAAGCCAGGTGAGATGGATGTGTCGCATATGGTTCGTAAAGAGGCTCGATGCCTTGAGGTGCCGCATGGCGGCAAGGACTCGAACATCGCTTGCGGTCCAGAAGCTGCCGGCGCAGTGGGTTACGTGCGCTTGTGCCCGGTTGAAATACTCGGCGATTACTTCGTATCGCATATGTCGGCATACCGAGGTTAAAATGTGGATTCGCATCATGTGCTCGACGATGGGCTCGCCCCTGCAAAAGGCCTCCTGGTCATACTCCCATGGCATGACTGTTGGAGTCCAGGCAGCTTTCTAAACCATTAACCTCATCTCGGCAGGTAGTCGGATAAGGGACGAGTGTTGTGATTGGGTTTCTATTTGAAAGTTCACGTTAGATGGTCAACATGTCAAAAGGGAAGGCGCGAGAAGGTGATGGGCGTACCAGTCTTACGCTCCGCCACATCCCGGGCGATTCTTGCGGCTTTCGCCTTTCTTGTCTCAACTGGCATGTTGCAGGAAGTCAAAAGGCAGAGAGGGATGGAGAGTCGCGGAAGAGGATAGACTCGGAAGTACTAGTTGTCCTTGTGCGTATTTTGGTGAGTGTCCAGAAGAAGGCCAAAAGACGATGTAATTCGTGACGACGAAATTTGGGAAAAGGGGGGTGAGGAACGTGCCGACATGTTGCAGGAGCTTCAAATTAAATAGGATCATAGAAGCCGACCTGGTGAATGGGACTGGAGAAGTGGCTGCATTGCTCAAGATTGCAGACGGAAAAGGAGAGGCAGAATGGAGGCGTAGATGCCATGCTTAAGGTTGCAGACCGGAAGATGTGTGAAGGGGAATAATAACCCCAGAGCTCACAGGTTCCAAGGCTCTGATGTCATATCGAAACTTGCCTCAGGCAGTCCGTAAATCTGGAATATCTTCAGACATCGGTTTTGAAGTGAATCATGTTTATAGTATGGCCGGATGAAATGGAGAAAAACTGTAAGAGAACTAAAGATCTGGCTATATATCAGGAGGATGTAAGGCGGCAAATACCTTGTAGTTATAAGTAATTTAGCTACACAAATCTCACCTCTTCCCCTTCGTGTTTTGTAGAAACGTACGAAACCTTCTATTTGATTTCTTGTTTTGGTTCATGTTTCCCCTTGAACCGCATGCCCAATGTACGTAATAAGGGGCAGCTAATGCCTGAGCGCTGATATAAGAATGAACATGTAGGGGCAGCTAATTAACGGATCTGGTTGCTCACAGGAAGGATCGATTAGCATTACGTTCATGAACAATGGAAAGTTCCCAAGTCCAGCCAAAAAGGGAAGTCGTAGGCAACATGAAGCGGATGACAAACCTCGAACAACTTGGGAAGGGAATCCGTGTCTCTGACCGCGCCGACATGGAGAACCATCCTGAACGGCCTGAATTCCTTCTGGATAATTTATCATGTTAGGTAGCCTACCACACAAAAGACTCCGTCCACCTCCCGTAGGAGCCATATCGGCTACCGTAGCCCTCGCTATAGAGAATGTGGACCTGCGTCCATTTGAAGTATTCATCGAGAACCTCGTATCGAATAAAGCGACAGATGGAGGTCAACGCGTGGATGTGTTTCATGTTATCGCGGATTGGTTTACTCTCCCGTTGGGCTTTAGGTCATACTCCCAGGGCTTGAGAGCTGGCATCCAAACCTCCTTGTAGATCATCAATCTGATCTCGGTAGGCAGACGATGGAGTATTGAAAACTGGGGTTCATGAGCTTCTGTTTAATGGTTACCTTAGCAGGTCGATGGATTGGGGCAGCATATTATGTATGGATGAGGGGTTGAAGGCACTGGCTTGGGGTCTTATCAAATTACCTAGGCACGAGGCTTATGGCTTCGGCCATTCTTTTCAAAACTTACATGGTGAAGATCTTGAAAGGAAGAGACGAATAATTGTTGGGATACACGTAGGGAAGACTCTCGTTGGGAGTACTGGTGAGTGTTGGAGAGATCATAGTAGGAGGCCAAAAGACAACAGTTGGTAATGAACTTTTGGAAAAGGAGGAAGAGTAAAAAGAAGAGTCAAGGGTGTAGGAGGGCGGGACTAAATAGGTCCCCAAGAAACGATCTGGTCTGGTCAATGGGATACTTGGTTGCGGTGCCAGGATTTGTGAAAAATAGAATAAATGCAATGCACAGCACACAACGCAGGACTACGGAAGTCCGTTGCATTCTTTTTTTCTTCTTTTTTTTCTTCATCACGCAGAGCTTTGGTGCTCAAGCTCGTGCATACGAACGATATGTGAGACTGGAGGCATATAGAGGTATGTATGTAAAGGTAAATGCGGCGCCCAAGGTTGCAGAAAGGATACCTAGAGGTAGAAGAGTGAACGGGAATAACCACATGAAAGGTATTTGAGCTCCCAAGTTTCAAGGCTCCGCCAATGCCACGTTGAAATCTGCCCTAGGGGATCCGTAAATCTGGAGTGTCTCTGGTCATCAAGGGAGTCATGGTACATAGTCTGACCAGGTGAAATACAGGAATGAGGGAGAAGTAGACATTTGATAATGAAAAGGGCTGCGGGGCCATGATAACTTGAAGTGACATAGCTACAAGCACCTCATTATATTCCTCCTCTTTTGTTGGATACACGTAAAAGTATACGGAGCTCGGGCTGCATTATTTGGATTCATGTTCTTCCGTGAAAAAACTATGCCCGACATCCGAAAATCGGTCCCCGTCCCACAAACGATCAAACCAGCCCTTTGCCCTCCCTCCGCCCCCTATATCCCTATGCTAGACAAACAGGATACCTAAACACTGGCTGAGAGATGAATCTCAGAACTCACGGCACCGACATTGATATCGATCCTGTACGGTTTCCGTTCCTTCTGCATAAAAACAAACTATTGTTAGCCCTGGCCTTTTTCATACGCCCGAAAAAAATCATGAAACAACCAAACGCAGATGTACTTTGAACGCACCTTCAGCTTTTCGGGAGAATCCCTTAAAAGACCCTTCACCAAACCATTGGCCTTCTCACGGTCCGCCATCCGTTCCGGTGAGCTCTCCCAGCCGTCCTGGCGGCCGGAGAACAGTCGCAAGTTGATCCAGTCCAGCTTGGGCAACTTCAGCATCTGCTGCCAGACCCGAGGGTTGTAGAAGGGCACGATACGTTCCGCGTTTACCGGCCACATGCTCTCATAATTCACGGCATCAATGAACGTGATCTCGAGAGTCTGTAGGTTCTTCAGGCTCGTCAGCCAGTTCAGGGTGTTTATCTGGCGGAAGAATCTGCTCTCGATGGGCTTTCGATCGGGGTACAGTGGGGTGGGCAGGGCCGTGGCGAACGGTCCGACCCTCCTAACTCGCACGTAGGGCGTGGAAATATTGTACCGCCGCGTGCGGGCATTGTCCACCATGTAATCCCAGGCAAGCCAGCCGTCGTTGGTGTTGAGGGGGATCCAGTTCAGACGCACGTGCTGGAGATGCGCCGTGAAGAGGGGGGAGCTTTTGAGGTGACACATGGAGGCAATAACGCGCATGTCACTCCTGCCACAGGAACCGGTGCGGCCAGGGGTATACGTGATGTGGGCTTGCGCTTGGGGGAAGTATTCGGCGATAACCTCGTATCGCATGTGACGGCAGACAGCGGTTAGCACGTGGATCTGCTTCATGTGGTCGCTGACGGGGCGGCCTTCACGCTGAGCGAAAACGGCGTAGTCCCAAGGGTTAACGGTCGGAGTCCAGGCATATTTGTATACCATCAGTCGGACTTCGGTGGGCAAGCGGATGAAGGATGAGCGGCTCGACTGAGCATCTATTGACGATAAGTACACGTTGGATAATGTGAGGCGCAATTATAGGAGCAGCCGTACCTGTGACGCTCAGGGCGAGCCTCGTCGTTTTTCGTCTTCTTGTCTCGACCATGTTGTGTTTTGAGGAAATTGGGAGACAAAAAAAAAACCGGCAAATAATCGCGACGATGGTTTAGGGAAAAGAAATGAAAATGCACGGGCTGAGAATGCTTGGAGATATATAAATACGTTCAACATGATCAAAGTGAATGGGAATTGTGGATCGAGTACTTGAGGTTGGGAGGGGAGCAGGTGAGTGAATGGCAATAGGCACATATTGCCCAAGGTTCTGAGGCTGCCTGCCGGCTCGGCGCGGGAAGTTTGAGAAAGGACTGGAAGTGAAGGGGGATGAGAACGCCAGAGCTCCCAGGTGCCGAGATTCTTGAAGGCGGTCCTAGGCAGCCCGTCAACGCGGGAGTGCCATATCGGACGAAAAACGGCAGTATCGTGGTGTAAAGGTAGGATCAGCGGGTGGATGTACGTAGCTGGGGGACACTCCGAGAGCAGACCGCCGCAAAGGTGTCAAAGGCCTTTTTAATCTCATCCTCCTTCTCCTCCTTCTCCTCCTCTCCTCCTTCTCCTCCTCTCCTCCTTCTCCTCCTTCTCCTCCTTCTCCTCCTCCCCCTCTTGCTTGTGAATTGGTAGCAAACCCTCAGTTCCACGATGTGCATGCAAATGGAAGTCAGCATTCCTGATTTCCATAGACACCATGCAAGATATCCAGGGATCGATCAATCATAGTCAAACAAATGTGAAGGTACCTATCCAGTAACTATCGTACCTCTCGCTAGTGAGCTACACATTAGCTTGGAACGTGTTTGTGTGTGTGGAAAAGACGGATTGTAGTTGTCTATTGCTGCGACATATGGGAACTGAGAAAATTGTTGAGCTGAGAGATAACCGTGACAGGCTGAAGTAAAAACAGGGGATATGTGCGTGGGCGGCCAAGAGCTGGAAATGATGAAGAGATTTCCCTTTGAGAGAGTGAGAAGAAGAAAGAAGAAGAAAAGAAATGGAGGGGGAGGGGCGATGGGGAAAGAAAGGAGGAAGCAGTAATGGGATAAAGAAGAAGAAAGAGAAAGAGGAAGAAGACTGGGAAGAAAAAATAAAGGGAACAGAATTCAAAATACCAAAGTCCCATCGACTCCCAGATCACCACAACCACCAGCATACATGTATCTAATCAGCATAATCAATGCCATCATCTTCAATGTGACAAGCACAAAAATACCAGAGGGCGATGAAGATTTGGAAGGCAATGCGAGAAGACTTTAGAAGGTAGAAAAGAATGGAAAAAGGCAACATCAAACCCCTTCTCTTCTTCCGTTTCCATCAAATTGTGACAAGCACAATTGCTCCCTCACCCAGTCCCATCCCAGCCATGTTGCCCTGTCCTGTCCTGCCTTGTCCTGCCCTTCCCTTCCCTTCCCTTCCCTTCCCTTCCCTTCCCTTCCCTTCCCTTCCCTTCCCTGCCCATTTAACTCCATCCAAACCCCACCCAGTAAGTAGGAGTACCTCGAATCATCACCAGACATTTACGATGACGGAGGCAAATCTAGTTGAATTCCCAAGTCTAGCGTCACTTTGAAGTCCGGCTGTTTTCCCTCCGGTCCCAGTTGCAGGTACCACCCTTCTGGCAGCACCGGCGACAACTCCCGAATCATGTCAGCATCGGGCCAGATATTCGGATCCTTCCAGCCCGTGAAGCCGTCGGTGGGGCTGATCTTCAGGGCCAGGTTATCCTCGATCAGCTTGGTGATGTCCTCAAAACGCCAGAAATTCTCGTCGTTCCCGTTCTTCTTTTTTGTCCGTCCTTGAATCTGGACAGCACAAAGACGCTGTTGGATCCGACCTGCACCGTCTCCCAAGGTTGTCCGTTCTTCTCGGTGTCGGCCGGCGGCACGAGCACGCCGTGGGTGTGCTGGACCGAGTGGCGGTGGTTTAGCCAGTCGTCCTTCGTCCACTTCCATCCAAAGTTTTGCATCACCTGCACGCCCCGCGTGGGCGAGGTCAGCAGCGCCACCTTGTCCGCGTACTTTGGTGGGAGCGTGATGCTCTGGACGTCGCGAATTCGCACGTTCCCGTACGAGCTTTCCAGCCAGTCAGCCGGCTCCGCGCCGAAGTCCCGCAACATGTCGAGGTAGCCGATCAGGCCGTTGCTGCCGTGAATGAGGAGCACCCTGGAGTCGCGCATGTTGGCTAGGCCACTGATCTTTACAAGCCCCGCTGGCCCCGACCCCATCCACCAGATCATTGGAAACCCGGCGTCGCCAAAGGTACGGATAATGATCCCGTAAAAGCCGCCCCATCTTCTCTGGCCCGAGTTACTCTTCATCCTGTCTTCCAGGTTGAGAGTCCAGATAACTTCGCTCTTGTAGAGGTCGTACTTGATGAGGTAAGTGTTGCCCGACATCTCAGTGTCGCGGAGCTCTTCAGCGCCGCGTCTGGTGGCGAGAAAGATCCAGTAGCCCGTATAGAAGTCCCAGTGCATGCCCGAGACCTGGTAATCTTCTTTGGCGGTAAGATCTGGGAATTCGATGACGTGGACGACATGGCCGCCGTAGGGCTCGTACACAATTACCTCGGCCCTCACCTGTGAGCCAACGAGTAGTAAACAAGCGAGGCCGTCCCATGCGGCACTGGAGGGGTACAGGTTAGCGTGCTCAATGTCCGTTGAACTCGCGGCACTCAGGCCATTCCGGCCTAGTGTACTTGCGCGGGTCCCCGTATTTGCCCGGGTTCACTCTCCGCTGTTTTGTCTGTATTTGACCGGAGTTGAACCGAACTTGGTGCACATGACGAAGACTTGAGATGTTTCTAACTAGCAGTGCGTACACGCCTAGAGCGGTAGCGGCTGCCAGCATAGGCGTGATGAATGTACTGAGCTTCATTATTGAAAGTCAAGGTTGATTGCTGTTGTCGATGTGGTTGAATCGACTTTGGATGGGTAGGAAACCTTCGTAGTTGGTATCCTGAATGATAGTGAACTGTGTTTGACTGGTGGTGGTATGGAGGAGAAAGAACGAGAACCAAAGAGCAGGGGATGAGGGGGAATAAGTACCAGCTATATGTTCCTGCTCCATGATTATTGTTTCTTGTGGCCAAGCACGAAGACATTTGTACTCGCATGGTGCGTGAAAATTGAATGCAAGGGACTTCCATAGTCTTCGGTGTGTGAGCATTGCATTTTTCTTATCATGCAGCCCAACTGGCACTGTCCACCAGTGTTGGCTCTGCGACTCCCGTCGAGTGCCGCATCGATTATGTCGGCTTCGGTGCGGCGAAGATTTCCTTGTTTTTTTTTTGGCTTCCAGGCATGTCGTTATGCATCTTTCTGCGATGCTAGAGGTTGCCCGTACAGCTTTCCAAGATTTTGCTTGGGAATCAATGCAACAAGCCCCGTTATCCAGGCGTCAATCGTGTATTTCCCTGTCAGTGCGTGTCGGCATTGTGGTTGGCAACAAATATGGATGGAAAACAAGTATCCGTGGGCCGAACCCCTTTTCGGACCTCCGACCTTCAGCCACGCATACCATATCACACCGCGTATCTTCCTTCTTCCCTCTCTCCAAAAACAACCCGCCCACATCATGCCGCATACCTCCATTTTCCTACCTCAAAACAACCCCTCCAAACCGCCCCCTCCTCCAACGCATTCTCCATCGCCACCCGACAAACAAACATCACCTGCGACGACTTCCTGTACGCAACGCCATCGATCCACTGCACCACGATCGCCACGAGCATGCGAAACCGGTCTTCACCAGACGGCGCGCACTCCATTCCCATCGTATTCCTAAATCTCTCAATATAATCACATCTTGGACGTCCAAGACCTCTGCCGTTTCAGCAAGCACGACCAGATCTTGTTTCCCCCTCAAATGGTCTGGACAGCTTGCCCGATCGGTATCCGAGCCGAACGCACCGCAGGGAATTCCGTACTTGTCCTGCAGGACGTAGTACATGTAGTGCGAGTCGTCTTTTAAATGCCAGATGCGTCGGGTAGCTGGACTTTTGTTGAGTAATACTGCTCTTCGCAGGGCGAGACCTCAAAGGAGGCGCAGAGGGTGTAGAAGCGGAGGGTGCCGGCTTTGAGAGGGATAAGGCTCAATGCAGGATCATCCTGCGGCGAAGTAATATGGCGTTGTAGGATGCTGTGACCGCCACAGTACCGTTGGAACTCGGAGTATAGTGTGCTGGACCACGTGTCGATACCATTATTGCCTGCACCATCCGGGGTATGAGAATCATCCACCAAAGCTGGGGTAACGTTGTGTATGTCTGTCGTCGTGAACTACAGGAGTGGTTCCAGCGTCCGGCTCGTCATCCGGGAAGTGCTGCAACTTTCGTTGCAATGGCCTCGTGATCCCTTGATTCATGTCATCACAATACCAGATGATCCAAGACCGATAGTATTTGTCGGACGTATCGTTAAGTTTGACTCCTGGCCAGGCAGCCCAGCACCACGTTGGAAACGCGTCGCAGCAGATACTCTCATGACTTCTTGTCGTCCAGATTATGGCAACTTCGAAGAAGGTAGTCGGCAGGCCGTAGTGGATTTTCGATCCCAAAAGCGATGCAAAACATTGGAGGATTCCTTGAAACGCGTTTATGGAGTCGGATGGGAAGCTCAGTGCCCGGTCCGTGTATTCGCACAGAGAGTCTATGTAATGCGACCTGCACCAGTCCACCAATAGCTGGCGTGAGCCATCCAATGGCGGTCTTGTGTCGGTATACCCAGTCTCGGGTTGAGAAGCAGGGGCAAGAATAGGTCTTTCGGAGAAGGCAACGTTATATCTGGCCCGGCCACACTGGAAAGTAACAAATCCATGACTGAAGATGATTTACCTTCGAGCTAACAACTTCTCTTGGAAAGTCCAGCCCCGACCTTCGAGCGGAGCCATGCCGTATTCTTCTTCCCTGTCAGCAAGGGGGATGGCTACTAGCCTCAGGTTGTCTGAAATCCCCTCCTCTGTATGCCATGGGTGACGTTCGGCAAATAGGCCAGCCTCGGCATTCGACCCACTTCGCGCCATGATGACAGCGAACGCCGTAGCGTACACCTCGTCCATACGGGAAATGAGCGAATGCTTGTTCATAGCATCGTCCTGGACGATACACAGTCTGTCACACCAGAGATATTGTTCGTCAAGAGCGACGAGAAGATCCATAGCATCGGTGATAGTCTTTGGGAGCAAATGCCTCACAGCGTCAATTCCACCGCTTTGTCTCAAGGAATCGACGTTATCCAGGACAGTTTGGAAGGTAGCTGCCTGCCCCCAGACATAGCTGAGAGCAAAATATCGGCGGGAGGTTGAGGGTGGCAGATCAACCAAACAACCGTTCTTCACGTCAACGACCAGGAGTGACCGTGACTGAGACGGTTGAAACATCGAGGTGTCGCAGAGAGGCCCATGTTCTTCCGGACAACGGGCCAGCCATTTCTTGATGAGTGGGATTTGAGTCTGCGTGGGTGCAGGTGGGCGACTGCCAAAGTCCTCTGGCACTCCCAAGCGGCCGAGGTCGTCGCTACGGATTTTGATGTAGCATGGGGAGAGTCGTTTGTAATATGTTGAGTTTGAAGATGCAGACAACTCGAATTCCAAAGTGACTGGCCGAATCGGATCGTCATGGGGAGCACGAGATGGGGATGTGCATTTCAGCAGGATCTCAGCATCCAGCAAGTCGATGTTTTGCGACACAGGGGAAGGTATTTCGAGCTTTTCCAAACCGAGGCAGTGGGCTGTCAGTCGGCAGAATGCGCACCGGGCCGAGTTTCTGGGCACCAGCCCAGCCGAGCTGAATCCAGGAAATACATAGCGTTTGGTCCCTTTGGCCCATACTTCTGTCAAATTGGACTAACATCGTGAGCAGAGATACTTGTCGGAGCCCTCGAGGGCAGCATGGCAATCCACCATTTTGGGACTCGCTGGATGCGGGGAGTTACGTAAATCCGGTAGTGAACTTTCGGAGCTATACACGTACCCTGTCAGCCTGTATGAGTGTACACAGTAGGTAGAGTACGGGACCCGGCACTTCAAAGCGCGATTATCGAATAAGGGAGGTTCCAGGATAGAAGGCGGTTGTGGATGCTTGCTGAGTGGGTGTTATGGGAACATACCGTGGCCCAAAAGTCGGACGACATCTCGCTAAGATAAAAAGAATGCCATTTCTGTTCAAAGTCATTTCTCATATCTAAACGGAAAGGGCAAATTTCGTACCAATCACTGGGGCCAGTGTCCCAATAAATCTTGTGTTCGCTCTCTTTTTTCGTACTTGGCGGTTTGATCCCGCTTGTGTTTTTTGTTTTTTTGTCGCGCCAAAGGTTTCGCGATGGCTTCAAACATCGAAACCGAAATCTTACCACCAACTCATCTGCCTGCCGTTCATATGCCCGCAATAGAAGGCTCTTCGGCTTTTTGCCCTTTTTGGGTATTCGGGCCAATGAGAAGACATCCTCAACTCTCTGGCCCAGACGCCCCCTTTATATGACCGCTGCGGTATAGGTACAACGGTCGAACGACCAGTTAGAGGGTTGCACAACTTTGATAACGGGCACACCTTGATTTGGGGATGATCAGGTGGTTTTTGTAGACCACTGTAACGGACCAACGGCTCCGAACGGGCGTTGTTCTTCGCGCTCTAGTGTACACTAAGCTTCTAACGGGTCAACCAGGGTTCAGGGGACGCAGTGAGAGCTTGCCACGTGTAAGCGGTAGTTTCAACGGGCTAGCACCCGGCGAATTCCTCGCGTGGTCGCCGACCGTTAGCTTCTGCCGATAGTGCATTTGAAGATCGCAAGTGATCAGTCATCTGAAGTCGGTGTGTGATGGCTTCCATTCCTATACGGGCTTAGGGCCTCGAAGCCCCTGTCAGTGGGGTTACGGCTTTCTCTGGCAGAGTTTGGTTCAAAAGGACGCAAAAGGATGCCAAAAATCCGCGGTAAAGAGTTGATTTCCTGATCCATTCAGCTCTCTCGTCTGCTTCTCAACTTCTGCTACCCCCCTTACCCCTGAGCCGCTCCCTCTTAGCCTCAAAGACCATTTTCAGCCATGAGTTCTCCAGTTACGAAGGCCGAGTCTCCGGCGCCTCAGTCTCCGCAAAAGGCCAAGACACCTGAGCCCACGTCTCCGCCAAAGGCCAAGTCGCCAACACCTGCTCCTGCGTCTCCTCGGAGCCCCCAATCTCCAGAAGCCGTTGTTGCCTCCGATCCGTCTAGTAGTGCTCTGCCTGGAACTCATTGGACTCAGCAAGGACTTCCGACGGTGGGCGATGACGCCGATTCGACCCTAGGAAGCGACATCGAGAGCTCGACGGCCTCCATCTCGTCGAGCATTCTCAACTACCGCACCCTCAATGGCCGCACCTACCACAGCGACTCGGTGGCGAACAATGAGTACTGGGCTCCCAATGACCCGAAGCACATGGAGGCCTTGGAGGTTCTCTACCATGCCCTCGAATTGGCCCGTGGTGGATTGCACCTGGCCCCTCTTGAGGACAACATCCAGAATGCCGTGGATATTGGTACCGGCTCAGGCCTCTGGGCGATCGACTTTGCCGATAGGTACCCGAATTGCAACGTAGTCGGCACCGATATATCGCCCATCCAGCCCAGCTGGGTGCCCCCTAACCTCCGGTTCGAGATCGACGATGCCACCAAGGAGTGGACCTTCAAGGAGAACTTGTTTGACTTTATCCACATCATGTTCCTGAACGGCTGCTGCGGGAACTGGACGGATATTTATAAGGAGGCGTACCGGTGCTGCAAGCCTGGTGGCTGGATCGAGCACTATGACGTTTCGCCTTTGGTCCTCTCCGACGACGGGACTGTTCTCGAGGGTTCTGCGATGGACCAGTACGGCAAGGTGTTCAGAGAGGCGGGCAAGCGGGTCGGGATCGACACATGCACGGCTGATAACGGCACCATGGAGAACGGGATGAAGGAGGCGGGATTCGTCAATGTGAAGGTTTTTGATATCAAGGTGAGTTATCCTCGCGAGGAACCCAGATCGCAACCCGTAATATGAAAGGGGAGACAAAAGACTAAAACCGCATCATAGTTGCCCATCTCTCCCTGGCCAAAGGACCCCAAGATGAAGGAGATCGGCCTCTACACCTATGCGACCATGACAACAGACGTGGAGGGTCTCGTCCAGTTCATGTACAGCAATGTGATGGGCTGGAGCGAAGAGGAGGTTGCAGTGTATGCGGCCCACATGCGCCGGGAGCTGAAGGACATGAAGATCCACGGATACTTCAACTGGAAGGTGGTGTATGCCCAGAAGCCCGAGTAAAATGCAGGCCTGTGGAAAGGGGGAAAGGGGTTTTTACATGGTAATGAGGAGCATCAGAAGCAAACCATGAAGTACTTAGCTGGGTGAAGGTCTCATTTTGTCGTTGACCCTAGAATGCAAAAGCTGTCGACAATTTGACTGAGGGGATCATGATGATGGGATGTGGAGACACCTCTACTGTACTTGTCCGAGGCCGCTCGTCCGACTTATGTTCTTCCTTCGCCGAGTTGGGCTTCGTGATGCGGTATTGTGGTTGTAAGGCTTGAGGGAGGCGGTGGCACCAAGTAATCGCAGATGATTGATGGGGTACTGTGTTGAGGTTCATCTATAAGAGTGGTCGCAATGTGTTCGAAGAAGATGTGGGGATGATGTTCGGTGCAAGTTGAGAAATCCAACAGGACGGGAGCACTCGACGTCAGCGCGCAGCTGCAGGTCATTAGAAGAAGCAGAACGAACAGTGTGAATACCGGCAAGTCAAGTATACTTATTATCTTATTAACTTATCAGCTTTCTGTTCCTGTTTGTCAATGCTTCTTCACTTAGCCCTAACCCTGACCTTTGTTTACCTCTCTCCCTTACCTTGCCTTCAACGACAACACTTTCAGGCTCACCCGTCGGAGACAGCGAGGACTATAAACTGAGAAGTTTACAATTGAAGTGGTAAGGCGCAATCAAAAGAGGGATTCATTATTAATGTTTCCCTACTGCGCGGCACGACCTTCACGGGGCCAGACCGCGTTATCTATGTACCCAACCCATCAAGTTATCCATGATAAGGGCTCAAGTATCTGTCATTTGATCTTCCACTGATATACTTAAGGCATGTTGTTTTTGCGAGAAACGAGATACCAATCTTCATCCAGCTAACCCAGCCTTATGGGGCTTCATACAAAAAGACCACCTCCCAAAATCTGCCCTCGACCTGCCCTCCTCTGATAAGGCCAGCTTTCATCCGATGTGAGGAATATACCGAGTCCATTTAGGGACCTACTATGCCGAATCGGATAGATGAGCCAGGTTAATGAAGGAGATGACGACCAAATAGATCCGTGCCAAGGCATAAAGTATGCCGAAAAGGACGATTGCTATGTCGAAAGAAAGTTTGAGAATGAGTGCAAGAAGTCCTGATATCAACGCGATAGGTACGCTTAGCGCCCTTCCAAAAAAATTCCACCAGTTATCATCCTCGGACTCAGCGAGCATCTTGGGCAGGGGCACTCTCCAGCCTGAGCCGCAGGATATTTGGAATAGGAGACGGCAAAGGAATATGCGCAGAACTCCGATGAGTACATCGGCTAACATTACCAGTGGCCCAAAGAATAACGGGGATATAAGCCCAAAGACGCCAGAAAACCTCATTACCCGGTCAAAATCGCGCCAGAAGGGAGCAAAAAGTTTCCACGAAAGTAGGAAGGGAATCCAATGCTCCAGTCGCTGCTATCGTGACGCTCGAAAGTCTCCAAAGAATTCGCTCAACGTCAGACGCAAACGGTGCGTTCCAAGCAACGCAATGCAGCCCGCCGTAGACAAGACCTATGGTTCCAAATCCAATGACTAGCGAAAAGAAGCCCTCGTGATCTCGAAACCGTGGTAGGTTGCGGGCACGGTCGGTCAAAAAGTTCTTAGACATCATGCCGTAGTATTTTTGCTTTGTGCAAAGCAAAGAAAGTTGCCATCTTCTGATGTCAGAATGATTGAGTTGAATACGAAGCTCGGTAGGGACTTGTTGGATGATTTCAGGTGACACTGGCTTGGATCGAAGCTGGACCAACGAGATATAGCTGCCTCCTCCGGTTGAGTCGAAGCTTTGCACCCCAGTGGACCACCTGATTTTGTCAAGGACAGTATCAGACAAACTGACCCGTAGGAAACTGTGAAATAACTGACTGTTAGTCCTTGCTTAAAGACCTGTTTGAGCTTCAACTACAGTCCTGCCCGAACCCTAAAACAGTTTGCTTGTGTGATCTATAAAGACACCAACCACCCCTTCAAGGTCTTGGAGTGGCTCAACTTCTCCAAAAAGGAAGCAGCGAGAATGGTCTTCTTTAACCAAAAATTTCCACCGTAACTCCGAATGGGGCTTGAAATTTTCGGCTACACTTTCACCAACTCTTCCGATCCGAACTGGGTGCCGGAACCCGATCGACGAGGGACCTACGATATTCTGTCCGTCTGTGTTGTCACGCTTGGTCTCTGTGTATGGACCGCAGTTCATCTGAATGTTCCTGAACACAATGAGTCAGCTGGCAAACAACTGATGCGTAAGATTGGGTGGTTGATGCTTAGTCTGTTGAGTCCAGAACTGGTAAGTTGTATTCATGTCTCTCTCTATCGCATCTATCCAGCACAGTCTCTTCTCTCAATATCTCACGGGCGTCAATACCAATTCCGAAGCAACGGCTTCCCGATGAGTTGGCCCTAGGGTATGCGACGGGTACAAGGCATATATGCCCGTAACCTTTTCCGGATATCTGCCAATGGAAAGGAAACATCTCTTTGTGTTCCTCACACATTTGTTATTTCTGCCTTCCCCACGCCAGCACCCCTCCCTTCACGGGTACTTGACGGTGCATTGATATTTCAGCTATGGGTTTGAGCCCTTCTCTCCCGAAGGGTACCTGTACCTCTATGGTTGAAATGGCTGTTGCTAACCGCGAAGCAGATTGCCTACACTGCTTATCAGCAATATTTACAAGCCAGGTCATTGGTTAAAATTATGAATCAAGAGGAACTCAAGCAGATTGATGGTGCTTTTGATGACGAATCCCTTGGGCTGGACTTTCTATTCGGCAGGGACTCGGTTTGCGACAGCGGCTCAGTTCGGCATGATGACTTACCGTCTAGCCGCAAAGGGTCCCGGGATGTTGCGGATTTTAGCGACTATTCGAGATACCCAATCCTAGTTAGTTTATTCTCGAAAGACATCCTCTAATTAGCCGGAGCCAATTTAGAAAAAAATTTTTGGGGGAAGGTGAAGGGGATATGAGGTGGGGGGTGTGCGACTTCAACTTGTGCCCAATAGACTTATAGAGCTATGTGTTAGTTATGATCTCGCCCGCACATATGAGTTCTGGTGCGACGTGGCTTTCATAACAAGCCTATCCCCACTCTCTGCAGTAATGGGCAAAGAAAATTATGGTAAGATAGACGTGAAGCTGTTTGAGCGGGCTGAGCGAGTCTTAAGATGCATTTTACACTTTATATCAATTGGTAGGGCAAGGTAGGTCACCGGATAGTCACCGCCCAACTGAAAGGGAGTGCAAACCACCGCATATCCAACATGTAGGAAAGAGGCAAGGCTTTGCTAGACAACCATGCGGGAAACGTCGTCTGTAACTTATAGTGTGATGGATATACTTACCCGATAGGGTCACAGAACAGTCTCCCCCTTCGGGCACCGGTGGGGTGTCGGGCTGCGTTTGACCGGTCCAAAACTCGTACTGGTAAAATGAGTGGCCGCAAGCAGAGTCGATTTTTGCACCGAAAAAAGGGAGAAGGGAGAAAGGCCTAAAAGAACATCGGCCAGCGGCGGCCAAGATCTGCTTGAGTGCGTCAGCCTGTAACCGACATACACTGACCTATCTAGATTGAAAGCCCAATGGCTTCCGACCACAACCTGACAGACAGGCTTTGGTTATACATCACACTTGAGGCCTGCTCTAGCAGATATGTCTAGTGAGGGAAAAGAGACTGCGAAAAGGCACTACAGTCCAATACTGGTTCGTTCGTTAGGTTCGAGGCCAAGACCTCGGATCAGCTTCCCTAGGCGTTTTTTTAAATCTAATTAGTTTTGGTTCGTTTCATGATTGAATGCTGATCTTACCATGGATTTGTTGTATAGAGATCCCAAATGCCAAATTTAACCTCGTTAATCCCTTTTTTGACCCATACTTGGCCATTCATTTTATACTTGTAAGGTCTAGGGCAGTTTGGAATAGATACATACCTTGAGTACCAAGCAATCAAACAAACCAGCATTAAGTTGTAGACCCGTAGCCTTATACACCCTGCCACCACAAAGCGACATCGACAATTGCGAGCTCGGCGATCGACTGGTGGGTAACGGTGCCACGCCCGCGCTGAGCCGCCCTGTTTGAGCTCCGCTTGGCATTGCGAATGGCCGTTCCCGTGGGGATGCTATCCCATCTGTTGTCGTTGCAACTTGGGGAGGAAAGCTGAGCTTGCAAATCCGGGGATGGGCCGGGCTCTTGGGGTGATTTTCGAAGAAAAAAACGAGATGGCTTGATGACAAGAAATAAAAAAGGGTAAGAAGCCTAAAATGTAGGAGCGGACGCCACAGAATGAAGGCTTTTTGGGGGGAAAGGCGGCGGAACGATCTTTCATTGAGTGGAAGAAACATCGAGGAACGTACCGGTTGTAGAAGGGAACACCACGATACCCAGTGTACAGATACCTGCAATTACCCCCGAGCCTTCCAATCCAACCGCACATCACGCCTTCCCAAACTCCCGCTTAATAACAAGAAGTGAGTAGGTGGGCCATCTGCCCAGTTTGGGCGCGAGCTGCTTGTGACTGACAAACACAGAAGGAGCAACAGGGAAAAAAGTCAGAACATCGAACGAGGAAAGTGGGGATGTCCAGTTGGCTACATGATTATGAAGAAGGCTCGACGGAGGGACAAACAATCCTCGTCCACAACCACTCAGGGCGTGGACTACCTTCCTGTGATTAACAAACTTGGAAGGAGCAATGGGAAGGGAAAAAAAAAATCAAAAAATCAAATGATCAGAGCAAAGTGGGAAGAGGTACATCCGGCTACATGATTTCGAAGAAGGCTCGACGGGTCAAACACATCTTCTCCACATTTGAAGCCCTCTGACATCTCACCAGCCGCAGACGTCAAACCTTGCAAAACCTCTTCTCTCTTGCATCGTGTCCCACGTAACGAACACCTCTCTTTTCACCACTCTCTAACTAATACTCAAAATCATCATCAACAGCCGGCCCCTTACTCTTCCCCACGCTCTCCTGCTTCCTATACATCTCAGCCACCATCCTGCTCGTCGTCGCCTCATCCGCCTTCTTATCCTCTCTGACCTTGATAAACCTCGGAAACCTGAGAGAAATACCCTTCTCGCCAGCCGGATCCACGCCCTCCTTCATGCCCGCCTTATACCTCGGACTAAGCGTCAGATCGGCCGTCTTGACTTCCCACACGTACTTCGGCTCGAACCAGACGTCCGGCTGGTGCTGCCCGCCCGAGGAGTGCGCGTAAAAGGGCTTGGGCCGGTCGATGATGATGGGGGATAGGGAAGCGTGAAGCTCTTGGAGGACTTCGTCCGAGAAGCCGGTGCCGATGTTGCAGACGGTTTCGTAGGTGTCGGAGTTGGGGTTATAGCAGGCTAAAAGGAAGGCGCCGAAGACAGAGGTACGCTTGCCTTTGCCGTGGTAGGCGCCGAGAACGACGAGGTCGAGCGAGTCGCCTATGCCGGCTAGGTAGTCTTTTTTGATCTGTTTGTTTGGCGCATTAGCTTCCACTTCTACAATCATCAAGGTGAGGAAAAAAGGGGAAAACAAACCTTCAACCAATTCCGACTCCTCTTCGACGGCTCATACCCACTCTCCGCGCCATCCAACATCTTGACCATCAACCCCTCGCAACTCGCCTTGACGGACTCATCCAGGAACATCTGAATCTCATCCAGCTCCTGGCCATCCATGCTGGTCGCAAACGAGAACTCGCCCTCCACAGGCTTAAACGCACTCCTCAACAACTCCCTCCTCTCCCTCAGCGACTTTTCCACAACCGCCTGACCGTTCAGATACAACAAGTCAAAAGCAAACACGCACACCTTGACTTTGACATCCTCCAGCTTGACATCCTTCTTCTTGCGTGTCATCAGCTGTTGGAACGGCAACACCTTCTTCTCGACCGTGTCCCACGCCACGGACTCGCAGTCCAGCACAAAACTCTTGGTGCCTTCTTTGACCCACGTCGGCAACTTGGCGAGCACATCCGGGTACTTTTGCGACAAATCCTCCGAGTTTCTCGAGAAAATAGCCGCGACGCCCTTACCGGTCTCCTTGCTAGCGACCTGGCTGAGGTCACCATCGCTCTTGGGCGCGTCCTTGGCAACATAATGAATCTGCGCTCTCTCGCCGTCGTACTTGTACTCGCACGTGAACGTCTGGCCCTCGAAGCGGTCGAGCACTTCAGTGATGGCCTTTGTCGGGTTAGCCAACATGGGCTTGAGCGGCACACCGGGACGCAGCTTGCAGTGGTCGCGGAGGTTCATGATGCCGTGTTGCAACATGGCGGGGATGATGACGTTGTAACTGGGCAGTTCGCTGTAGACGGTCTTGAGGATGGACTCGGCCTTGCTGAAGTCGGATTCGCTTGGTACTTTACCCTTTTGCGCAAACTCGTGTGCGATCATGGCTTGCGCCAACGAGACGATGACGGATTTCTCTGCCAGTCCCAACCGCAGCTTACCCTCCAGGAAGCGGACGATGAACTTGGCCTCGCTCGGCCCGCCCTTCTCTTTGATGATGTCCACCTTTCCGGTTGAATTCGCATCGGCAGCCGACAAAAGCTTCTTGATACCGTCCACCTTCTTCTGCTGGGCGCCCGTGCCCGTCATGGTCGTAGCGATATCCATCAGACCCTTATGCACACCGCGAATAGTCAACGGCTTAGGCTTGAACATAGTCGGCTGCTTCGACCTCGACTTGACAGCCACCAGACCAAGGTCACCAATCTCCTTCTGGTCATTCTTGATAACAGCAACACTGCGGCCCGTGGTCTCGCCGATAGCCTTCATGATAAGCGACTCACCAATGCCCAGCTCAATACCCGCATAATCAGGGGCAAGCTTGTTGATCATGAGCAGTACGGTGGGCAGCAGATCGTCGGGCGTGAGACGGAGGACTTGGCGCAGGAAAAGAGAGCAGTACTCCATGATGAGCAACCTCTTGCGTGTCTGCTCGATAAGTGAAAACGTCGTGCAGAGGGCGGCGTAGGGAACAGGCTCGCCGGCCTTCCAGTCCGGGAAGGGGTCCTTAACCTTGGTTGTGAGTGTGGTCTGGATGACCTTGCGAGCCTTTTTGGCGACTGCCTCGGTCTTTTCGTCCTCGTCTACCTCTTCCTCTTCGGCTTCGATTTCGGATGCCGATGCTGAAGAGGCTTCCTCATCATCAACCTTCTCTACCGGTGCGGGAGATGGGCTCTTCTTTTTTCGTGCAGGCTTGGGCGAAGCGGCCTTCTTCTTCTCCTCCTTTACCGGCGCAGAAGAAGCAGGGACATCCTCCATGATCTCGTCCTCGTCATCCTCAACCACCTTGCGACCTCTCCTCAACCGCTTGCTGACAGGCGCAACAACGTCCTCTGTGTCATCCTCGGTCTTGGCCTTCTTCGACTTGGGGCTTTTGGTCGTCGGTGATCGTGACCTCTTCTTCTTGTTATCTGTTTCGTGCCAGTTATTAGCCACCATTCTACTACTAACATCACTTCCAAAGATGCAACTCACCTGTCTCCTCCTTCACCTCCTCCACGACCTCCATCACGTCCTCATCCTCCTCCTCCTTTGCTGCCTCCTTAGCAACCTCCTTCCCCTTGGTCGGAGGCCTACCTCTCCCCCTCCCCGTCTTTGCAGGACTCTTATCCTTGAGCTTCATCTCCTCCACCTTCTTCTCTACCTCTTCGTGTCCAGCATCTTCACTGCTCTCATCCTTGTTGGTCTCTTCCTTCTTCGAGGTAGTAATCGCTTTCGTGCCAAAGGACAGCTTCGTCTGCTGCTTGCCGTCCGATGAGGGGGCGTCTTTCTTGCCGAAGAACTTCCTGCAATGGTTGTTATCTCGTTAGCATCTTTCCCGTTTGATATCTCAGGTAGAAGAGGAAGGGGAGAAGGTGGAAAGAAGACTCCAAAAGGGTGGTAGTAACGCGTAACCAAGATCGAATATTGTTTCCAAAACATTTTTGCTTCCAATGCTGGTCCCGAAATTGTTTCCAAAATTGGCTTCCAAACTGGCATCAAAATTTGGTTCCAAAGCTGTTTCCAATTTGGTGCAGATTTGTTCCCAAAAACTGTTTCCAAAAACACAGTGTTCAATCGATCCATTCGTTACACCCAAACTAACCCCAACGTAGTCTGCCTCCCTCCCCTCGGTTTGTCCTTAACGTACCCCAACGTCTGCTGTTGCTTGGGAGGCATCGTGCCTGTGTGGTGGGTGTTGTTCGTGTCGAATAAAGCGTAACTAGCGTAGTTTCTTCTTCTTCCTCCTATTCCCAGACCAGATAGTAAATCGGCTCCGGAGTTCGTCGAGTTCGAGTTCGAGTTCGAGTTGAGACTTAGTCGACTAAGCGATGCGATAAGTCGCTGGGGGTGGATTTGAATTGTCTTCGTCTTCGCTTTCGTCGCAACGTTTGCAAGTGGTGATGTTGATGTTGCCAATGTCGAAAAACTGGTGGTTCTCGTTATTGCCGAAGTTGTTCTCGTCGCAATCGCAATCGCAATCGCAGGAGAAGCACTCAAACTCCAAGCTCCCTTGCTTGCAGAAAGCAAAGGGAAAAGTTGTCTGGGCGCCAGGTTGGATTTTGTCGAAACTTCCGTCCGTTCTTCTTGCCCTTTTCAATCCTTTCTTTTCCGTGTATCGTATTCTTTTATACCCGCCAATTGGTAGCTCTTTTCGTTCAGTGTCACACACCACTTATCGATAAATGGGGTCTGCTGCCTGGCTGTTCTTGCTGCCTGTTGTGATCCCCGTCGTTCCTGCCGCCTGTCTCGCGTGTCGTTATCGCCCGTGTCGTCCGTGTCGTGTCGTCCCTTCCGCCGTGCTACCCTTTTAAAGTGGACATTGACGTGACGCGCCTTCTTTCCTTAACGCGACCCCCTGCTCTTTTTCCGCAGGCAACAGTCGCGAGAAGTGTCGCGGTCACATGGGCTGCAACGGCTGGCTCCATGATCTATGATTTTAGATCACCTTACAGACGCTAGCATAGACTGATAGGGCAAGCTAACGCACAGATGACAGCCAGGGGCCCCTTGCGGTGCGGGACAAATTTGGGGTACCGTCGCAACGTAGCGCCAAGCTCCGCGCCCATCAAATCCGATCTCCAAATCTCCAACAGCTCAAAAATGTTGGGCTGTGAGAGAATCTGACTTGATATGACAGGGCTGGATTTTTGAGGCTGGGCGGGGGCATCGCTTGCGATACGATATCGGACCTCACTCATATCGCTCAGCTGAAGAAACAACACTGCTCTTTTCAAGAAATCCAATTCCATAACCCGCCTTTCGCTCCCCTCCCCTTAACATGTCTAGATGTATGTGGTTGTGTTTGTGACTGTTTTGCGCTACGCAGATATGTTTATTATACGAGGAAAAAGGAAGAAAACCCGCAACCATGATGACCGACGTAGACGGACGCCACGCCTGCACCATATTTTGTTTTCGTTGCATGCATCAAGAGAAAAAGACAAGTTCTGGTTGTAAACTTTAAAAACCCCATCTAATTTGTCATTACTGCCTTCCTGCCTGCCTCTCTACCCAGTTTTAACTTTTTTTTTAGTTCTTGAAGTAGAAAAGCTCATCAGGGGTACGGCCACGAATGAAGTCGGGCTCAGTACCCTTGACGTAGATATCCTCAAAGAGAATCTGCTGGTTGGCCTCAGGGGGAGCCATGGCCTCGGCGGCGGCAACCTCCTCGTTGACGTGGGCGCGAGCCTCCTTGTCAAGACCCTTGAGCTCCTCCTCGGTAGCGACACCCCACTCGAGAATGTGCTGCTTGAGACCGGCAATGGGGTCGTTGGTGGAGCGCATGCGCTGAATCTCCTCACGGGTACGGTAGGTGGTGCCGGGGTCGGACATGGAGTGACCACCATAACGGTAGGTGACGTACTCGAGGACGAGAGGACCGTTGTCGTTGTTGGTCCACTCCTTACCGTAGGCGACGGCGGCCTTGACGGCGAGGACGTCCATGCCGTTGACCTTGAGACCGGGGATGTACTGGCCACGCTTGTAGTATTCGGTCAGGGCCGAGGAGCGGGCGGCAGAGGTACCCATACCATACTTGTTGTCTGCACGATTACACACGTCAGTAAGAATCCACCAGATCATGGAACGTGAGCAACTTACTTTCGCAACCGAAAAGGGCAGGGAGGTTCCAGAGCTTGGCCATGTTGAAAGACTCAAAGACCTGACCCTGGTTGGAGGCACCATCACCTATAACACTGGATTAGCCTTCCGAATTCCCAACGTTGTTTCCTATCACCGAGAGGAGCGCCTACCGTAGAGGATGATGGAAGCCTTCTTGCCGCCAGTGTACTTCTGGGCGAAAGCAAGACCGGCACCGACGGCGACCTGAGCACCGACGATACCGTTACCGCCGTAGAAGCCCTTGGTGAACATGTGCATGGAACCACCCTTGCCGTAGGCGATACCCTCACGGCGACCGAGAAGCTCGCCGATGATGGAGCGGACAGTGCCGCCGCGCATGTAGGCGAAGCCGTGGCAGCGGTAGGAGGTGATGACGTCGTCAGTCTTCTGGATCGCGTGCTCGATACCGACGGCAACGGCCTCCTGACCAACGGACAGATGGCAGAAACCACGAATCTTCTTCTCCTTGTACAGTCTGTCGGCGGCCATCTCCATTTGCCTGTATGTGAGAGCATGGTGTTAGCTATGCTATACCATGTTGTTATGCGAGGCCGAGATCGGCAGAGATGGGGAAAGCTCGGAGCTCTGGTGGTACTTGGTGATTGCATACCTGACGACGACCATGTCGTAGTACATCTGCTTCAGCTCCTTCTTGGTGACGGCGAGGGTATAGGGAGGGGGGTCGAGCTGGTAGGTCTCGAAGGACTCATCGCTGAGGGTGACCTGGAAGGGCTCCTCTTCCGACTAGATTGAAGCAAGATTGCATGGTAAGCTTATCGATATTCCCATTTTCAGAGTGGTGGTGGTAGTCGCGAAAAGAAGTAGTAGCAGTTTTGGGGT